GACTTGATAACTATTGATATTGCTTCTGTGATGTATTGCTTAATTTTAATTATTCCAGTTTGGGGAGAGTTATTTACATACAGTGCCTCATTAGAGAGGTTTCTAATCGATGGATTCAACAGGAACGTCTCGAAGTGACTAAATTAACCAAGTGGGAAGGCAGCTAGGTGGTAGGTTAGCGACCTCCTGGTACCTGGGAGAGCTTGAGCTTCCCACCACAGTTGGATACAAGAACTGTTGTCCTCCAGCTCTTTCCATGCACTGCTATACAGATAAACCCAGACAGCTCCTCCAGCTTCCCCCCCACCTTGGTTTTATCACCATCTCTCAGGGCTGTTCTGACTTGGCAGAAGAGCTGAATTGGGATGTTGTGACATCAAGCCAGTGCTTTGCCCTTCCATTGTTACCACATTCGAGCCAGTTGTTTTGTGCAGAATGACAGCAACAGAGGGAGGGGGGCTAAAAACATCCCTGCCTGAGCCAGTGCTCACAGCACTGCTGGTCTGAGCACAGCAACTGCCTGGGAGCACCCCACTGCTGGTTCGTGCAGCAGGGTGCAGCCCTGGGAAATGTCCCTAGGGTGGGGGTCCCACACCTCCCTTGGCACTGCTACCCTGTTATTCTGCCCTTGTTGGTAAATAAACAACTGCCAAAATACAGTCACCACACATGGCCAATCAAATATCATGCTTTGTCCTGGTTTTATGCTTACCATACTGCAGTTTTCTTCCCACGAGACTCCTGGGTTTGCCCTAAACCCAAAGCCGGTGATCAGCCTGTGATGCACAAGTGCAGCTTGGGTGCGGATGAGATGCAGGTGAACCTGGGAGAAAAAGACATTTCTCAGGATAAGGATCAGTGCAGAGCCCAGTGCTGTTTTTCTCCTGTCCGCCTATCTTTGTAACTATCTAGACTGGATGTCCTGAGCCATTTTATTACTTAGTTTTTCACTATCATGTGGTCCCTGTATAAATCCTTACAGCATCTCATGTATTATGACTCTGAATATCTCAGCATCATCAGCAAGTTGCCATTCCTTTTTTTCACTTCATTTTCAAGATTATTTACGAACGCACTGAAGAGTGCAGACTGAAACTCCTCTAAAGAATGGCAGTAGATTTGAGGTGTTCCTTTATAGAAGGAAAACCACCTTTTATCACTTTTTTTTTCCTCCAATATTTCAGATGTATCCAAAGTCACACCAATATTCTTCCACTTTGTCCAAGAATTACCTCAGACTTCACAGCCTGTAATAACCCCAAACCCTTCCTATTTGTTACCTTGCAGCTCTCAGGCATGGAGGCTGCCATGCACAGTGGTTACATGCTAAATTATGTAATTAAATTATGTCACCTGGGTTCCTCATCCTGAGCACTTCAGTGAGAGCCACTTCAGCCTGGTGAATTTGTACTCTTTGGTTTGGCTATTTTTTCCTCAACTTCCTCAGCAGGCAGCTTGAATGTAAGTCAAATCCCGTGTCCTTATACAGAACTTTGGCACAGCACTTCTCAGAGCTTGTCCTCACTGACTGAGGTTGCAAAACATCCACTTTGTTCTTTTTTTTGTTCCCACCTTGCCTCCTGCAAGAGCTCTTGTTGCACCATGGCCAACTTCTGACTCGCCAGCAGGGTTTCTGTGCTCCATGTGTTTGAGGAGTACTTATTATTATTTGGTTTTGCTTTTTGTCGGTGGTTTATGTAACTGCTTTTTGCTTGCCTTATTTCCATTTTATGTTATTTTATTTTTAATTTAAATGGTCAGGACACTCATTCTTTTGCTCATTTAGACAAAAATTACTTTTCTAAGCATTAGAAGACTGCAACCTTAATATCTGAAGGTCATCGGCCCTTCTCATCTTAGACCTAACAAGGCATAGGATTCAGGATCTCATATTAGACTAATACATGTTTTTTGGTTTGCAAGGATTCTGTGATACCAGACTTTTCAAGCATGACACACTTATATAGATAAAAAATCATCAGTGGCTAGGATGAATTTTGCTTGTATCAGGTTTGGAATGTTTCATTTTCACCAGTGGAAGGAGGAGAGCATTTCTCTGACAAGCTATGATTGTTTTTGAAGCAGTTTAGGGGTGTGCTCCCCTAGCATGGAGCAAGCTCAGCAGGGAGCCCCACCAGAGGAGGGTTGGGGTACGGGCACAGGGACTGTGATGCTCCCTGCCTCCTCGGCCTGTTTGCCTACATGCATCTGGAAGGCCTGTTGCCATGGAGAAGTGATGGGGAACTGTCTGCCTGGCTCGCCTGACTCTTTTCCTAGCACAAAGTAAAGGCATTTCGCCAGCTTTAATGAGCTGTAGGCGCTTGGCACAATGGCTGCATCCCCATCTTTGTCACACTGGGCTGCCTGAACCCCCAGATACCAGGAGAAACCTGAAAGAGAGGAAACCCAAAGTGCAGGTGGGGGAAGGGAGCAGAGCACAAGATGGAAACTGCAGGGAGATGGGCCAGTGCCTGCAGCGGCCAGGGAGTGATGGAGCAGGGCCCTCCGCAGGGGTGCACAGACACTGGGTATGAATTGCAACAAGAGAAATTGTGATCAGTCAAGAAGAAAGGCCTTCTCTGTGAGAGTGGCATAGCACTGAGATGGACACTGGAGATCTCCAAAATCCAAAGATCCAGCCAAGCTCTGAGCAGTGCCTTGAGGTGAGCCCTGCACTGAGGCTTGCTGAGTGATGGATGAGGGCATCTGAAAGAGCTCCCAGAGGAGCACAGGTGAGAGATATGGCCTGAAAGTGGGGTGAAGGTGGAGGCATCCTTCTCTTACATTTTGGAACTGACAGTACTGAGCACTGCTTCACTCACTGTAACTAACTGCATGGTTCACATACACAGCAGTGGTTTTTTTAAGGAGTTCCCTAAAAACAAGTGGATTCTCTCTTACTTTCTGTTGGAGAAACACTTTGGTGTACAAAAAATAAAAATAAAAAATTAGGGGGGGTGACTTATGACTGTTAGATGTTTAATGGGGATCTCCTTCTGTGAGAAGAAATCCAGTACATTGATGCTGGGTCTTGTTTTGGATCCAAACCATATCACTGATGGGAACTTCAGGGTGTTCCCATGTAGATCTGGGGGGGATTATGTCAGGGTTACAGTAGAAAGGTCTGTTGATTTTCTTCTTTTTTTGAACAGCATTTTCTACCACAGGCAAAATATTTACATATTACGGAATAAAGAGCATTTTTTCCTCCAGTTATTTGGTAAAAAGAAAAGTGGGGGTAAGCACAGTAAAAGGCTTGGGCTGTGGCAGTGTGCGCACCTCCAGATGGCTGTTTGTGGCAGGGCTAATAAGGCTGGGCACTGAGTTACACAAGCAGCTCTACCATCCTCACTTCCAGCACACAGGACTGAGGCACACCTGCCCTAACTGCTCTCTGATATTAGCACATCGCAGCGAGATTATAGCATTTATCACCTCATCACTTAGTTTGTCACTGGGTAACAGCTGAGCCCTGCTCATCCTGCTCAGGCTGCAAACCCCATGGGACGAGTGATGTCAGTGTGGGCAGCCCTGACAAGTGAGCAGGGCACGGTGACCAGCTCTCCCGGTGGCAGTGATGGAGAGGCTGATGCCATTTAGCACCTCTCCTTCAGTCTAAACTAAAAAGCAGGGTGATATCTTCATTCTACACACGGGGAACTTTTTCTCTCACAGCTGGTATCCAAGCAGAGATGCATTTCTGCAGGTTTGCTATTCATGGTGCTTTGTGTGATAAAACCCAGGCAGTGAGATCCTTGTGTCCGTACACAGCAGAGCAGTTGGGTTTTCTGCTCTCTAAATGACTTGCTTTGCTTTCCAAGTTGTAGATTAATAGAACCAAATAGTTACAAGAACTCTTCAAGAAATTAAGATAAGCCTGCATTGATTCCCCTCACTGCAAGAAAGACATCGAGGCCGTGGAGCGGGTTCAAAGAAGGGCGACAAAGCTGGTGAGGGGTCTAGAGCACAGGGCTGATGAGGAGCAGCTGAAGGAGCTGGGAACGTTCAGTGTGGAGAAGAGGAGCTCAGGGGAGACCTTACTGCTCTCTGTAACTGCCTGAAGGGAGGCTGTTGTGAGCTGGGAGTCGGCCTCTTCTCTCGTGTAACTGGTGATAGAACTAGAGGGAATGGCTTCAAGCTGCGCCAGGGCAGATTTAGTCTGGATGCTAGGAAATACCACTTTTCTGAAAGAGTGTTCAGGCCCTGGAATGGGCAGCCCAGGGAAGTGGTGGAGTCACCGACCCTGACGGTGCTCAAAGAAAGTTTGGATTTTGTGTTGAGGGACGTGGTTTAGTGAGCACTATTGGTGATAGGTGGATGGTTGGACTGCATGATCTTGAAGGTCTTTTCCAACCTTGCTGATTCCGTGATTCTGTTTTCCAGATTTTCCATCTCTGCCATAAAAGCTCTCTGAAGGGCAGTGAGCCAGTGACATATCCAGGTGAAGAAAAAGCAAGGCAGAATATCCTGAGTTGGAAAGGATCTATAAGGATCATGGAGTCCAACTCCTGGTTCCACACAGGACACCCAAAGGTCAGACCATACGTTGGAGAGCGTTGCCCAGCCGCTCCTTGAGCTCTGCCAGGGGCCACGAGCAGCCCTCAGGGGAGACTGCCGCAGTGCCCGATCACCTTCTCGGTGGATGACCTTTTCCTCAGCAGCTTCAGGTTCCACCGCTGTCACCAGAGAGCCCACCAGCGCCTGCCCGCCCTCGGAGCGCTTTACAACCGAGCAGCGTTAAACCCGACGGCGCGCACCGCCTCACCTCAGCGCAGCTCCGCGCCCCTTCGGGCCGCCCGCCATGATGTCAGGAGGCGGGGGCGGAGAAGGGAGCCGGCGGCCAAATATAGCGGCGCTTCCTGGGCGGCCGGCCGCGCCCCGGCCCTCCCTCCTGCCGCAGTCAATGAGCAGGCAGCGGCCGCGGCGGAGAGCCGCACTCGCCGGGGGCAGCGGGGCGGCATGGCGGGGCGCTGAGCGCGGGGAGCGGCCCGGCACCCGGCCCCGCCGCGGCATGGGCGGCCTCGGGCTCGTGCGATGAGCGCTCCTCCGGCAGTCATCCCCCGCGCGAATATGGGCACAGCCGTGTCCAAAAGGAAGACGCTGAGGAACGAGGCCATGTCGTCGGTGGCGGCCAAAGTGAGGTGGGTGGTGGGATGGGGGTGGGGGGCGCGTCCCCACGAAGGCTGCTCGGCGGAGCCCGCCCGGCGCTGAGCCGTGTGTGCGGGTCACCGCTGCGCCCGCACCGTCCGAGTCTCCGGCAGAGCGGAGCTCTGGGGCTTCGCAAACCGTCAGTCTGCTGGCCGGCTTTTAATCGGCTGAAATGCCATCTGTGCGCCCGGGGGCAGCGTTCCTTAAGGGCTCCCGTTCTGCTGCGTGGGAAACCTGCTGCGGGAGCATCCCTCAGCCCTGGGAAACACGCTGCAGAACCCATCGGATCTGCCCGCTTCTGCAGTGTCCGGAGCCGCCGTGCTGAGCAGTGAGAGGTTTGGGTTCTGTGGCTGTGGGTCCTGTCGTGCTTTTGTGCTTGCCTTGCAGCGTAGGGTTTCGCTGACTGTGCTTATAGCCCGTGGTGCTTATGAGTGTCAGGCGTAGGACATCCTACAAAATGTGTTGGTGGGTGAGCGTGCCTCGGTTCACAAAGCCATCGCGGAGGAGCTGTGCCCATTGCTGGGCAGGACGGACTCGACCCTCCTGCCTCACTGCAGCTGGGTGTCAGGGCATGGAGCAGCTCTTCAGGGTCCCTTCCAGCACAGCTGCGTGCTGGGCAGGTCTGTCCGGGGCTTTGCTACATCCAGATGAGCTCTGTGCTGCTGTGGAAAAAAGGGAAGAAATAAACTTTTCAGCTGCATTATGTAACCTCCTTTGTGTCAGACAGAATTGCTTCGGAACAGCCTGGAGTGGTGTGTAGGGCTTGATCTGTGCTGCCGAGAGATCTGTCACCTCTGTGAGGCTGGGGCTCAGCATTATGGCATCTCGCTGTCCATGGAAGGTCTGAGGGCTTGAAGGGAGCACCACCAAAGCTGTCTGTGCGGTGCTGTCCTTTTGTGTTGTAAATTCTGGAGTGCATCTGGAGAAAGCTGTCGAGGCAGAATGTGGAACTTCTCCCCACGTTGCAGTGTGCTGTGTTCATCGCTGAAAACCTGAGCGCTTTCGGTGGTGTTCAGAGGTTCGGCAGTGAGATTCTTTTTGGCAGATGTCAGCCAGGTGGTTGGAAAGAAATGACATAAAATGCACCTTGAGTGCTGTAATGGGGCTCTGGGTGTACAATTAGGCAGTCAGGCACACAAACAGCATATTCTGTAACAGGCGAGAAGATTTCAAGTGGTAGTGTGGGTGTTTGAGAGCAGCTAGCGCATTTGGAATGCAACTGCCCACATCAGGATGGGCACACTACTCGTGTAGTGTGAAATCTGCAGAGTTCAGGTTCTGGTTTGCTATGTGTGTGCTGCAGCTACTGACAGGCGGCTGCTGCTGTTGCGTGGGAGCTCGGAGGTGTCTGGTAGGGGTGTGAGTCGTGTGCTTTGACCAGAGGGGTTGGGAGGGTGGGCTGTGAAACATGAAGTCCCTGAGGGATGGTCAGGCTGGCCGTTACGCAGTGCTGCTCTGTCCAGCTGAATGAATGTCCAATTGAAGAAGCCTTTGGGGAGGGCAGGGAACACGGAGCTCCTTGCGTTGCTCTTTTGTGTGAAGGTGGTGCTGGTGGGGAGCAAGCACTGCTGGTTTGGCTCTTACCTGCACGTGTCAGCCTCTGCCTTGTGCAGTCACAGCCATCCTCAGCATTTCTACAGCAGACAGCATCCACCTGCTGGAAGGTTTCTCCAAGCTTCCCAGTGCACATTGTCTCTTCTCCTCTGCCCTGGGTCCTCCTTCTGCATCCCATATGTCCTCATCTCATTTCTTTACAGAGAGGGCTTTGCAGGATGGTAGGTAAGGCACACAGATATGCTGCTCTGCCCTTCCCCAGAGGGCTGGGGGCTTGGATCACCTGCATGGGTAATGCTGCTGTGATGATCTGGACCCCCTCAGTTTCATGTAGGCAGTTTTGGGGCCTTGCATTTATGCTGCAGGGAGAGATGCTCTGGGATTATTTCCCAGCACCTCTTGAGCTCTGCTGTCCGTATTTCACCTGGGGCAGGTGACTTTTTGAAAGGAAAAAATCGCATCCTGAAATGCACTGCAAGTCCAAGCAGCTGCTGATGTATTTTTATTGCATGCAGCTGGAGTGTGTGTGCACATTCGCCCCTCTTACTGAACGGGGAGCATCGTCTGTTTGCTGCTGTGAGGGATGTGATCCAAGCAGAAGGTGCATGCGCCCAAGCTTCTTCAATTAAAATCTCTGCAGAGTGCTCAGGGGATCACCTGTCCCAGGAGAATTCATTAAGCTCCACGCGGTGTGTTGTGTGTTAGGACTTTTACATAGCTCCTCAAAAATAATGGCCTAGTTGCGCTGCGTTAGCATCACTGAGGGCATCCATGCTGCTGTGTCTTTGGTTTCTGCTGTCCTGTCCTCTCCTGAGGAAGCTGCAGCACACAGCTCCAGTCCCACACCCTGAAAGTGGTGCTGGCTCAGCGGCATTGCTTTGCTCAGATTTTAATCGTGTGGCTGTGAGATCTTGCTGTCGTGCGCTGTCTTTCATGTGTGTGCTTTTTTTTGCCTTGCAGCTCCGGGGGCATGCCTGCGGATGGCAGGGATGTGTCCTTGTCCTTGCGTTGTGACCTTGGTGCTGCCCCTCTGCCAGCAGCTCTGGCTGCTGTGCTTTGGGTGTCTGCATGTTCCCATCAGACCCGAGAAGCATCAGACACGCTCTCCTTGGCTTCCTCAGCTTGCTTTCAAGGGCAGAGATGAACCAAAGCCTTTAGAAATGGCTCTCTCTGTCCTCACTGCCTTTAGCCCTACAGAACGATACTGACATCCCAGATGTGGCAATAAACTGCAGCTCCACTTGGTATTTCTCTGATTTGTAGCTTTCCTGTGGGGAGTGCAGCAGTGCTTGTAGAGGACACGAGGCTTCTGCTGGATGTTCCAGAACTTCTCCTTGACGTAGTTATCACAGGACATGTGTGAATTGAGTATGTGCTTTATGTGACACCGAAGTGTCAGGACTTTGGTGTTTGCCCCTTGCAGAAAGGAGAATTCTGCCTCGCTCCCCCTTTGCTGACTGTTGAGGCCATAGGATGGTTTAAAACAAGTCCACAAAGGCTCAGAAAGTGTCTGTCTTGTGCTGACAAAACACCGAGATACCCAGATGCACTCCTTACCTCAGGTTTCTTATTGTTGAGTCATTTCTGGCTTAGGTCGGGGTTCTTAGTGGAGTCTGGATTCCTTTTTTCTGCTTGTGAATTTTCCCGTGGATGGTATGAACTCCCATGTTTTGATTACCTGCTCTGTTCTCTCTCCTCCTGTCAGAGCTTTGTAAATATAAATTCCTCCGAGACGGTGCAAACTTTGACTTCAGGATCTCAGCAGTGGTTTTCCTTTTCCCAAGAGTGACAGTTTTTCTGTTACTTAGCTATTGCAGGCCAACTTTTGTCAGCATGATGCCGACGTGGGGTTTAACCACTGTGAGCATCAGTGGTTTCTGTGTGATGGAGCTGCTAAGGATGGACATGCTGTGGTGCTCCCAGGGCTGCTGTTGGATGTAAGTCCCAGTGGTGCAGGGCTGTCTTGCTCCTGTTTTTCTGATGCCCAGCACTGTCACATGCTGTCACAGCAGATTCCTGCAGCACCTCCTGAGCACTACTTCTCAACATGCACAAGAAGGTGTGCTTTTCTCTTTCCATACAATACTTCTGAGTACTCTGACTTTTGCTTATCCTGCTGCAGTGCTCAAAATGGAGTTACCACAGTGCTTTCATGTATTTCTGAGTGTTTCAATACACATTTTTTAGCTTACTTCAGTGTCAGTTTAGAGGAGTGCATAAATTTGTGTGCATCAATTTCCCGTAGCTGCCAGTACACATCAAGGCTCCTTTTATCCTGTTGATGTGATTATTTCAGAGACATAAAGGCTATTCCACACTCATCACGCTGTAATTGATATCTGTGTTATTTGGCGGCTTTCCTCCTTCTAGCAAATGTTTGTCTAAACCTTCTCTGCTTCTCTGCCAGATCTCAGTCTTCCATGCACGGCTCCAGCCCTGACACCAGCACTGTGAGTGCTGAGAGATGACTGCAGAAGGGCAGCTTCCTTTGCCCACATTGTCCCACCCCACCCTCTGCACTCTGGAAGTAGTTCTGTTGGAGGAGAAGCCAAAGAAGACAGTAGTGTTTCCTCTGGGGCACAGGCAGCATTCTCCTTGCTGGTGGCACTCAGTAGCTCAGTACACCAAGGCAGTGGGTTCTGGTTGATGTCTGGTTACATAAAACTGTACTGGCTGCGTTATGTGCAGGTCTGGTCTGTCACCAAAATGAAAACCTTCCTCTAGATGAGTCAGGGCTGAACTTGTGGCATCAGCTGATCGCCTCTCAGTAGCTACCTGCTCATTTGTATGCTGCTTTCACAGTATCACACGCACAGGGCTATAGCTCATCTCCTTGTGTCCATGTAAGGCACCTTGCACTTCATCTCACTCGTCTGAAACAAGTTTCTTTTTTCCTTCTCTTACAAGTTAAATCACATGTCTCTTTCCAGCCCAGCAGAAGGGTTACTGTCCAGAGCCATCAGAGGGATTGATGGGCTTTTTTGGCTGTAGTGGTTAAGACACAGAATAGAGCAGTTACCAGCTGCTTGAGTTTTGCTCTGCTTTATTTCAATCATGTCAGCACATAGCCAGGGAGGGTGAATGGCACATTAATGATGCTGGCAGGTGCTGGCAAACTGGGGTGAGTGAGCACAGCGAGGGCAGGGAAGGAGGACAGGAGGCTTGGCAAGGTGAGGCCAGGCATAAGGAACGAGTGTGGCCATCCAAGTGCCCTTGGCAAGGGGCATGTGTGGGCATCTGTGGGAGATCTGCTGAGACACAGCCTCAGTGGCACTTGAGAGGCAGAAATGTAGAAGGGAACCACTGAGATAATAGGCAAACAATTAGTCTGGAGTTTGCAGTGCAATTGGCTGGAAAACCCCCATTGCACATTGTGCTTTGCTTGCTTCGCTGGCTTATTAACTGTCACTGGAGAGCTGCGATCAGGCATCCAGGGCTGTTTGCTCTTAGGCTGACCAGCAGCATGAAGAGCAGTGCAGTGGGATGGCAGGGACGGAGCTGCGGGCTCAGCTGCTGTTGGCAGCATGTTTCTGAGTAGCCCCGTGCTTCTGCTCTGTGAGGAGAGGGCTGAGATGTTGGGATCTGGCCTGCAAGGTTCTGCCCTGCTGCCCCGTCTGCTGGGGATGAGAAGGGGGAGGCTGGAGGCTCTGCAGCACCTCTGAGCTCGGGCTCTGGATGACTGTTTTTGCTTAGAATGAGGGGGATGGAGTGCAGCAGTGCTCCTCTGGCCCATCATTTGTACGTTGGGTCTTAACAAATGATTGGTGCTAATTTTTTGAGCATGGTTTGCAAGCTAAAGGTGAAGCCTTGGATCATGTTCTAAAGCAGACAGTTCTGCGTCAGGCATTGGTGGAAATGAATGGAGGAAAGCGATAGGTGCTCTTGGAGCTTTTGAACTAGTTACAAAATAAACTTTATCTTTGAATTTTAGGGTATCTTCTAGTGCAAGTCCCTGTGCTCTCTCCCTGATATTTTTCTCATTATTATTTTCATCGATTAAGTGACTGATGTTGCTCTGGATAAACTTTGAAGCCTTTTTGGAGGATGTGTGTCCTGCTGTCTGGTGGAAGAGAGGCTGGAAGTCTCTAGCATAGCCTCCTGCTGCCAATGAGCCCAGTCCTGGCTTTTGGCTGAGCCTCTGCCCTTCTCTGCTGGGCTGCAGGAGCAGCTTCAGCTCTCAAGTTTTTCTCTGTTGCTCCAAGACCAAGTTCTGCATTTTGCTGAGACCAAGGGGTAGTGGATGCAAGGATGATTCATGAGGTGCTGTCCTCCTGCCCGGGTGAACCATGACAGTTTGCTTCTTGCAGACTGCTGTGCTAGTTGTACAGCTCTTCCACATGACTGTGCATGACCATCTCTGGGGGTGTGTAGGCTTTGGGCAATGCAATTTGGGCAGCTGGCACTTCAGGCTGATGTTAGAAGTACATCCTGGTCCTAGACAAGCAGGAACCTGGATAAAAGAAAAACCTCAGCACTGCATGTGGCCTGTAATGATGCAGAAGGGTTAAACTTTTCTTCTTGCACAGCTGTAGCTGTGCTCCATCAGAGCTCTTCAGATTTGTCTACGCTGAAGTTTAGCTCCAAAGAGACTAAATTGTTCTTTAATCTTTCACATCAATCCTCTTTAGCTGGCTGTGGTTGACAAATGGACTTCCCACTCCTTCCAGTTGTGGTCACTGAGAGGTACGTTGTACCTCCCTTTGGGAGGAGATGAGTGAAAGCAATGGGAGAAAATCCTGGTCACACAGGTTGAGATGTGCAGTGGTGTTGGGTAGCAAGGAGGAAGGTTGATTTGGAGGTCAGAGCTGCTTTCACTTAGACATGTAGCACCTTCTGGAGCTTAGTCTTTTATAGCATCTAGAACTGGGGTGGGATGTTTCGAGGCATGGAGAATCCTCCCAGTTGTCCCATGTCTTCCTCTCTTCCCCCACAAGAGCTGTCTGTGTGCTAGCAGGCTGAGTGCTTGGCTTGACTTACCAGGGAGGTGGGTGCCTGTTTGATCTTGCAGTTCGTGAGTCTCCACCCAGTATTTGTATGAAGGAATGCATGCCTTGACCTTTCCTTTCCTCTGTGGGTTAAACGCAGAGAGCTCCCAGGTTGGAATATTTGTAGTTTTTCTCTCTTGACGTGCAATAAGGCTTGAGCTCACCCTGCCTGGTTGAGCTGTAATATATTTCAGTAAAATCTCAGTCATTGATGGGACCTAAATCTATTGAAGAACAGCAAGAGGTTTTTATGGGTTGCCAGTGGTCCAAATACTGACGTTGTTGGTGCTGGATAATTTAGGGATCAGGCAGGCGAAATGGGTGCTAGCATTAATATCTAGGTATGATTGTTCACAAATAAGAGCACTTGTAACCAGAGTAGAAGACAGACTGTGGTGATGGTTGGGACTGGGATGGATTTCCTTCCCCTCAGAGCTGCAGGAGCTGTGATCGTGGTGCTTGGAGCTGTGATCCAGCTCCTAACTGGGAGATACAGGCACCACAGAAACCAGGCCAAGTTGCACACGAGAGAATATTTTTTCTGTCTTACCACTGGTTTTGTCTGTTGTTTCCATGCCAGGGTTGTAGTGCAACTCTGTTTAAGGAAATGCTTTGGCTGGGGAAAAACTGAGGTGTGTTAATAGAGGAGCTGCCACTGCAGCTTGTTTCAGTTGATGTCACCTGAAGCTGAGGGAAAGACAGCAGTGTGTGTTGAACTGTTCCTTCCTTCCCTGGAATTCAACCACTGTCCATCTCTTCTTTCTCTTACTGCTGCTGTCGGTGATGCTTGGATGCACAGAGCGGCAAGGGCTTTTGGAGAATACCTTTCACAAAATCATCCTGAAGGCAGAAATGGCTCAGGTAAGAGATGATGTACGTTGTTTTTGTCTGCATGTGCATGCACCTACTTCTGCCTTAGAATTAAAGAGTGTCGACTTACTTACTACAAAGGGCCAGTGTGAGATCCCAGCAGCGGAGGGGCTGGAGAGTCACCCTGTGGATCCGTGTGAGGCCCATGAGGAGAAAAGGCACTTTGGTGATTCAAGCATTGGGTGGCTGTGGGGACAAGCTCAGTTCCAGTGCATCCTGCCATAAATTTGCTCCTCGAGCTGATGTCCTTGGATGACACTTCAGCTGAAGAATGAAAAACTGCACTGCACGAGGCTTCTGCTCTGGTTTGTTACTCCTAGGTCTTGCTTTCACTGAGGAATAAAAAAAATATGAGTTGTGGTACATGAGTTGCTGTGCATAGTGTATATGCAGCAATCTGTCTTTCCTGGTAGAGGTAACCTTTGGATTTCTTCCCGGGGTTTTCTTCAGCAGAGGTTAAAATGCAATTTGCCTTGTCAGGTTGAGGACACCAGCATGTGCTAGCTAATGTATTAATTTTTTAGACACAGAAACTGTCCCTGTCAGCCTGTGGTGGGTTCTGTTTGATGGGCTGGGGGCATCTGGGAGGGCTGTGTCTTCTCTATGAGGAAAGAAAACATTTTGTGGATGTTAAATCCGCTGCAAAAGACTCCACAGAAAGTCTTGTGTGGATAAATATCAAGGTGTTCTGTAGTGTTGAACTCTTCCATGGAGATAAATGTATTAAATAGAATGCAACGTAGAGTCATGTTTACATCGTATGTAAACTGTATGTTTGTTTAGACCTGCACAAGTAGAAAATGCTTCTTACTCAAAGAGCAAGCCCAGTCACACTGGTGTATGTCAACCAGATGGAGTCCCAGCCTTTTTCTTTGGATCTGTTCTGATGACCTTCAAGTTGTCCTTGGCTGAATTGTGCTAAGTTTGAGAGTAGAAGAGCTTAAAGACAATATACTGCTGTTTTCTTTGAGATCTATGTATTCTTTTCCTACAGCCTTAAGAAACTCCAGTGACACGTTACTTACTGAGAGTATTTGGTATAAGAATGACCTGTGGTGGTGAGGGAGGGAGAAGAGAGTAGGAGAAGGCTGGGGTTCAGAGCAGCTGAGATGGAGAGTCTGGTGAGGCAGAGGGGAGGTGAAGGTTGGACAGACTTCAGAGATGTTCCTGAATGGCAAAAGCAGCCTTTATCAAGGCTATTTTTTGCAGCTGTTTCTGTCTTTTCCTGCAGGGAAAGCAGGAATTCCCATTTGGATCCAAGTGAATTTAATTATCTTATACATAAGAACTGAGCAGAGAGAGGTTCACATGAATATACCAAAATCCTCTGTGGGATCCTTCAGCATTGAGTGGGAAATAAATTAATAAAGCTCTCTAGAAATGAATCTGAATGTTTATAGGAAAGGGGGAAAAATATTTTTAAAGTCATCTACTGAAATTCTGCAGCATACAGTCTAACAGTCTGTAGCATTTCTTTGTAACTAGCTATGGGAGAATGGCTGCTCTCCTATAAAAATGTTGGACATAGAAAATCTGTCTCCCTTTTCTTCGTCCCAGTTGTGCAGCATGAGAGAAATCAGCTCTTTTCTTCCTGCAGAAATCCTGTGTGCCTCAGCACTGCTTTACGAGTTCCTGAACACTCCACCTTTGGCTCAGCAGAGTGTGAGCTGTGTGCTTAGCTTTGATCTGATGACTCCTACAGAACAAATGAAGGGTTCTTTGACATCAGTTGAGGATGGAGCACTTATCTAGGAGCGGCTGAGGCTGCTCCAGCTCACCAGCTTGGCTGAAGGGAGCAGGGAAGAAGCAGTGTGGTGGCTGCACACACCCACTGGTATCCTGTAGTTAAATTCTCACTTGCATGTATTGGTGCAGAAAGCTCAGCACACTGTAGAAACGAGTCCTCAGTGCCTGTGTGTCTGTTTCTAGCTGGGCTCTTGCTGTGAGTGTCTTTACCTTTACAGAAAGGTCTGCTTTCTGCTGTAGTAACCCCTGTTGTTTGTGGGGATGCTCCCTGCAGTGCCAGCAGACTGCAGCTGGGATTAAGGCAGTACCCTAAAAGTGAATGGAAGGAGATAGGTCTGTGACCAGGTGTGAATCTGTTCTCCTGCTGCTTTAGCTGCTAATTCAGCTCCTGGGCAGAAGGGTAGAGCTGCCTGGTAACTGCTCAGGCAGGCACAGCAGACCCTCCATCTGCATGGAGATGCCACATGTGCAGAGGCTGCCTCAGCTTGCTTCATTTCTGCTGCATTTTGTTCTCTGAGGATCATCACTTCTGCCTTGTCAGAGTCCTTTGGAGGTAAAGAGGGTGGCAGGATGCTGCAGGGTGTAGCAGGAGAAGGGGAGGAGGAGTGTTTGTTGGTTACAGTTTCTGATTATTCCTGATAGGAGGCCTGAGAGCATCAGGTTTCAGAAATACTGCAATTAGCTCCAGGAGGTCTTCAGTGCATTATCCTGGAGGAGGTTTCTCTGGGTGACTCAGGAGGAACATTTACCTCCTCTTCCATGCGTGGCTCAGTGTGCTCTGACTGTTCTGTCTGGTTACTGCAGGGGTGGCAATATACCAATTTTCTTCCCTTTGTTTCCCTTTTGGATCAGGCTGGATTTGACCCCTTAGGATTGCTCAGTTGTTGTTGTTTTTTTCCTCCTGATCCTTAAGGTATTCAGAGGAATTCGGCAAAAAAGGAGGGTTGGGCTCTACTGTAGCTGACAGAGCTTGGATCTGTTAAGGGAGCTGAATCTGTTAAGGACCAGGACATCTCCTGCTCCTCTGCTGGCCCTGTTGGTGCTGCTTTATTCATGCAGACTGAAGCTCTGGGAAGGCTCCCAGGAAGAGCATTCACCCATGTTGAGCATTCATTCTAACTACAAGGCTGTTGTAAAGTCCTTGCTGGCTCTTGTAGCTTTCTGATATATTCCCATCCTGCCTGTGGAATGGCTTTAGAGGAGGAATGGGTGCCCCTTGTGACAGGCTAAGAAGAAAGACAGGGAAGAGGACTGGAGTGTTGTAAAAGGTGAATGTAAAAAGGCTGCAGAGAGTAAAATGTATTAAAAAATAACGACTCAGGGTCTCACCAGTGCTCATGAGATGAGGAGTTCTAGAGATTACCTGAGTCCCCATCTCCCACCTTAGGTGTCAGAAGCCCACACTGAGATTTAGATTTCTTTATACCCATATATTGAAACTATGAGAAGTTGGCACGGGGGCAATGAAGTTGAACAATGGCAAATGGAGTTCTTGAGATATTCCTCCTGCATGGGGGGAGTGGCAGTACATGAGATAGGATTCAAGCAGAAGAGGAGATCCCAGCAAGTAAAATGTGTGCTCAGTGCTGCAGCGATGGTGGGCCTTGGGCCAGAGATGCCTGGCAGATCTTGACTCACGTTCACTGTGGTTATTAGCAAAAACAGCATGCTACTGGGAGAGCTTTGCATCAGCACAGACCAAAATTAATCATTACCTGAAAATGGAATAAACTTCATTTTTAAGTTCAAACAAGTCATCTGCACTTCTTCTCTTTATTCATCTGCGACATTTCAGCCATCTGTGGAAACAATGAAGATGTAGTGAGAAAGGAACATCTCACAACCTTCCCCAAAGCAAACAGCAATGGATAATGCTGGCAAGAGAAAAGTGTTTGCTGATGCTGCTGTGCTTCATGCACACACTTCGCTGAAACAACTGCTGGTGTTTGCACCCTGGCTGTTGTCACTTCAGAGGAGTGGGTGTGAGTGTGTGGAAGGGAGCAGCCATGCAGCAGGAAGGTTTTCCGTGCTGTTAGGAGCTCACAGTGAGCTTGAGAAGTTTCAGCACAAGGCTTTGCATGGCTTTGGGTCAGAGGAGTGCTCTGAGGGCTGGGCTTTTGATGAAGCCAGGGCGGTGGGACTGCAGCTACCACATGGTCTCCAAGGGACCTTCAGTTCTCCAATGTCCAGACTGTAGAGCTGCAGGTACTGACTCAAGGTAAGCAGCAGCCTGCCTTTTCTCCATGGAGACTTACCCTGTCCTGGGGTGGATCCCGACAGTGGGTCTGGCCCAGCTGCTCCAGTGCGTCCCTGTGCAACCTGGATTCAGTCCGGCAAAGGGAGGTAGAATCTCACCTCAGGGCTTCAGGCTGCTTCCAGCCTCAAACAGCACAGGTATGGTGTGGAGGTGTCCTCAAACCCACTGCAGAATGTGCTGGTTGTGAAGTGAGCAGGAGCGTAGGCTGGGGTGTTACCATGGGAATGCTGAGGTGGTGGAAGCTGCCTTTTGCTCTGTTGGGTCCTGCCTCGCAGGAGCAGTTTTGTCTGCTCACATTAATGTTGCAGGCCAATCTCAAAGGTTGTTGGGAGAGTAATGGTGAGGTACAATGCCAACAGCATCTTCGGCAGTTTGTCGCTCAGAAGTCTAATTGGAACAACTCTGTCACATTTAAGTGACTGCCTGTTTTCTCAGAGCTGCTCCCTTGCTGAAGCAGGCCCTGCCTTTTCTCCGTGAGATGCCTTCCTCAGGAGCTATGGGGTCAGAGTGCCTGCTAAGCTGACAGTGGGGCTGACTTGGTCAGGCCTTGGAGACCCCATAGTGAGCACTGTGCTCATCACAGCAGTGCTGCTCCTGTCACCTCTAACGAGCTGCTGAGCAGCTTCTGAACTGTGAAAACACCTCTGTGACTTTTTAGAAAATGATCTGTTTCCGTTTTTATCTATATCCTTGCCTCATGTTTCAGTATTTGGAATAAATTTCCTGGGTTTGCACTGGGGGGAGCTTTGCACTGCAACTAGGATGCTCTCTCTGTGCCCCATGGGGAAGAGGAGAAGATGACCTGGCAGTGTCATAGCAAACCTGGGGCAGTGGCAGACATATGGGATGAATGAGAACTGAAACTGAGGGAGAAACTATTCAGCCTTGCTCTTTGAAAAGCTGTTCTTTATTTGCAGTGCACCCATCTGCTCCCTCGTTGAGGGTATCACCTGGACTCCTACCAGTGTGAAATAAAAATAATTAAAAAAAACCAAAAAACACAGACCACAAACACTTCAATTTCATTTCTCCTAGTGGGAACAATAATGCAAAGCCTACATCTGTGCCTTTATCTTCAGTGGCCGAGGCAGTCCTTTCATTTAATGTTGGTACTTAAAAATGAAGAAGCATCATGTGCAAAGAGCTCTTGCTGAGGTGGGGCAGGGAAGAGGAAATTGGCTCTGAAATGCACTTCTCTGAGGTGATAGATGCATTTTTTTAATGGGATTTCTCTAGGTTCCCCTTTGCCACTTTGTTTCTGGTGCTGGAGCAGAGGTTTTACATCTAAGCGCTTTGATCATCAGTTTGGCTGCTAAATGCAGTAATAAATTTGGGTCTTTTTTAAAAGCCTTATGGCTGTAATTCTGCCTTGATTTATAAACTTCTCATCCGATGGGGCTACAGGGCAGTCTGCATCAGGCATGAGCTTGGCTTGGTGATCCCTGCTGTTGTGAATGGGCATCACTCAGCTGAGGCTTATCCCAGTGTGTTACCTCTTCACTAGAAATGCTGCAAGAGGGAAAGAAAATGCAGAAGCCATTAGCAATTAGTTACCTGGGTCAGAGCACTGCACTCGAGATAGTTGCTGAATGCACAGGAATGTATTGTAATTAAGTGCCTAATGATCAGAAACTAAATGCACCACAAATATGGATTCTTTCTCTCCCAGGGCATTGCTGGTTAACTGGTACAGATCAGCATTGCTGTCAGTGGTCCTCTTTGATACCTGTGCTCTAATGGCTGCGTTGGGCAGGGCTGTGTGCAAGATGAAGAAAGAGTAACATGAGAACAAAGGGAAGCAGAGTGGCTGCAGCCAGGCAGAGGGTGCTAACAGCAGGCTGCTTCAGCTGGCTCACGGGAGGCAATTCCACTCACTGCAGAAGTCCCCTGTTAATGTTTGAGCTCTCTGAACTGGACATCCCTGTGCCTCAGGTTTCATTCAGTGTCAATCTCTTGACCAGCTGGACTTCTTTCCTAGCAGGAACAACCTATCAACCTTAAACGCCGAGGTGTAAACAGCTCTGGTGTTCTGGCAGCGCCTGAATCCAATTCTCTGCAAGGATAGATGAGGGAATCACAGAATCATAGAACGGCCTGGGTTGCACAGGAGCACAGTGCTCATCTCATTTCAACCCCCTGCTGTGTGCAGGTCGCCAACCAGCAGCCCAGGCTGCCCAGAGCCACATCCAGCCTGGCCTTGGATGCCTGCAGGGATGGGGCATCCACAGCCTCCTTGGGCAACCTGTTCCACTTTTCCCTGATGACATCTCTGGGCTGCCGGCATGCATGAATGCATAGGTGGGAACTCTCTGAAGTGACTGCAGGATCAATTCAGGGGCCAAGAATTCATTACAAAGAATGTTTGATTTTTTTTTTTAATCCTTTCATAGTGATTTATTTCTGTAGATGTATTCTTTATTAACCAGAAGCCTTGAGTAAAGCTTCACGTTGCCTTTGCACACAAAGTTGCTTCTCCGACATACAGGCACTGAAGATGCTAAATTACTGAAAATAAATAATTATCCGGTTGTTAGGAAGAGGAGACTGACTGGTGTGGTGGCTGACTTTTCACCTTGAAAACTCCTGGATAAGTACAAGTCAGTACAGCTCGAGAAAGGAGCAGGTAAGGTAGGAAGAAAGTCCTGTAGACTAGATTAGACAGGTTGTCAGATGCATCCAGTCAAGAGCTGTAAAGCTGCTGTGATTTCTGTAAGAAGTTGACTCTTACTCGAAACCTGCCTTATCCCTTTTGCATGTCTGTTCATTTCGTGGAGCCCAAGCAGATCTCAGTGCTTACGAAGCTAAGATTGGAATCGATCTGTCTGCACTGGCAATTGTCAGCATTTTCAGAGCTGCTGTACTGTGGGCACTTTGTTCCCTCTGTGAGTGGAGGTGTAGGAACCTAAATAAAAGACTTCAGGGCTCAGACTTTTTACAGTACTGTTTGCTTTTGGATACCAGAGCTTGGAACTCAAACAGTTGTTTATTTTTTATTCTTTATTTTCTTTGAAGCACGTGAGTATGCATGAAGTGCATAATCCCATGTCTTTGCTCTCATGTTGCTGTACATCCTCCACAGAAGTATTCATTTTAGGAGGAGTGGAGGCAGCCGTCAGCCACTGTTGCGTGGTGCATTAAAAATATGTAGCGTCATGATGCCTGCACAGATTAGTAAGTTTGACAAGATGAGGTAAGCATCTAGAGCTGGCCTTTGTTTTTAATTTTAAAAATTGATGTCCTTGGCTCTGTTATCCAGCAGAGGTCTTGGCATATCCTGAAGAGCTATATGCTGGTGTTTTCCCAAGACGTGCCCTCTCTAGAGCACAGTTAGATGTAGAGCTGGAGAGGATCTGAGTCATTGGAGAATAAAGTCGGTGTCCTGCTGCCTCTCCAGGGCTAAGAAGTAATTGGTGGTACTTTGGAGCCTGTGGCCACTGTGTCGTGCTGCAGGCAGGGCTCTGTGGCCAAGCTGCTGAATGGCAGCTGGTGGAGCAGCTTCTTCCACTTGAATGGAAGAAAATGTTCTGGTGGTGGCCCATGTGGTCTGTGTGACTCTGCTCCTCCTTTCTGTGCCCAGAGCAATGGGTGAGGAGACCACTGCCTGCCTCTTGTTTCATTGGGGTGGTCTCAGTGAGTTGCACTGCCCCTCACTACACTTAGGCCCATGTTTTGGACTCCATGTGAAATCTGGGAAGATATCAGCAGCTATGGGATCAAGAGGCACAGATCTTCCTTTAGGGCTCCCGTAGGCTCCTTCCGGTCAGCTGAAGCAGCGACCCACGCAGCTGCCAGCTGCTGAGTCTGGAGACTGTAAGACTTTGCTAGGAGACAAGTGAGGCAGAGCTGAGTCGCGTCAGCCCGAAGCATCCTGACAGTCACTTCTGGAGCAGAGTGGCTGGAGATGTGCTTATCTCCCTGTGGCGGTGGAGGAAGTTGTATCTCAAGCAGAAAAATGAGATAAGTGTGACACACTGCTGGTACCAGATAAATTCAGCTCAGTCTCAGCTGCAGGAGAGGACCTTGGTGATGTGGGCACAATCCAGGCTGGGCTTCACATTCAAAAGCTGATGCTGTACATCCTCACCTTGGGAGAGCTCCTATCTGAGCAGCACAGGAGTGCTTTATAGGAAGCAGAACGTGGCAGCAGTGTCGGGTCTGTGTCGCACACTGAGAGCAGATGAGGACGAGGTAGGTTGTCTCCTCCTCCCTCATCTTTCCATGGCCAGCCACAAGGTAGCCAAACCTCAGATTGCTGCCCATTCCTTCCAGGTCAGGAGCTAGAGGAAGAATGGTCCTTAAATATCTCATGAAGTAAAGGCTTGGGGTTGCTTTCCATCTGTTTGTAACAATGCTGTCTGTGCTGGACACTAATGATTCTGTTTTTTCTGGGGTAGTAGTCACATGCATAATGCATTCCCTGCTGGGCCTTTTTAGCAGTCCCCTAGCTGCTTCCCTTCTGAAGGGAAGTGTAAGAGGTAATTAGCAGCCACTTGAAAAAAGGATTAGCAGGTGAGTGGGAGCTGCTGTTGGGTTCATGCATGGAATTGCCATGGAAATGCTGAGATTTCCTGGCAGTTGATCCAGTGTGTGGGCTCCAAATATAGTTGCACTCATGGGCCTCTCTCCTTTGGATCTCACTATCCTACAAAAGGAGCTGTTTCGTTTTCCTTCCAGACGGCCCCTGCATGCAGTGCCATTGCTGTCTGTGCAAAGTGAGGCTGCTGAGTGGAATTAGTGGGAGTGAGGCTGCAGCTGTTGGCTGAAGTCTTTTGGCATTGCTTTCATTTCAAAGCAATTAGCAGAAAATGAGATAAGAAAAAAATATATGACTTGTTGGTTTGCTGTTTTTAGTTAATATGAAAAACAACGATAAATTGGTGCGCAGAGAGCATTCATAGAATCATAGAAGAAGTTGGAAAAGACCTACAGGCTCACCCAGTCCAACTGCCAATTCAGCGTTTGTGACTTCTTACAGAAGTTGGTGCTGCTTCTTGTCCTGCAAGTCCTTCCCAGCTCAGCAGCCCTTGAGTAGGAAACCCACTGAAGCAGTCACTGCAGAGCTGCATAGGGGCTCTCATGAGCTTTTTCAGACTGTGCACCAAGAGCTGCATTTTCTTCTAGCCTCATTTTTTGCTGCTGGACACTATGAGTTTAAACACTGGATACGTGTGAGGAGTATCTCTCGTTTCAGCACCAGTTCTGGAGGTCTGGGCACACATCTGGGTGCTGGAGGTACCAGTTTTGAGCTCCTATTGTAGGAGGTTCTTTCGGAGGCAAGTCTGCTGTATCTCTACAGCAGTAACAAAGAGCCTCCTGAATGTTTCGGTGCCTGAGGTGCTTTGGTTTTAAGCAGTAAAGTGTGCAATTTGTTTCAGATCACCTGTTAGCAGACTCCTACATCGGGCAGGAGGACTCCCCCGAGATGCAGCAGGCAGCACAGAACAAGCGCAGGCTCTCCGTCATCTCGGATGGCAAGTTTGAGAGGAGCTTCTCTGAGGAGCAGGCAGAGAAGATGCCAAGTGAGGGACCGAAGCCACGAGTCTACACCATCTCCGGCGAGAGGCCGATGCTGTCAGACCACGAGAACGAAAGTATGGAGCTGGTGGTGATGAAAGGGGCTGCCCAAGAGGAATGCCACCACGGCCACCCTGTGCACGGTGCTGGTGGCTCTCACGGTGTCAGCAGGCATTGCAAGGGCTGGCCTGGCAGCCGGCAGGGATCCAAGGAGTGCCCAAACTGCACCCGGCTGGCTGCTCCTTCTCATCATTCCTTTGACCTAGAGCCGCATCAATCCGGTGAGACTGGATGGCACAGAAAAAGGCTGGAGAGGATGTATAGTGTCGATCGAGTGTCTGGTAAGTAAGGGCAAGTGCTGGGTGCTGGAAGGGCACAAAGGGACTCATCAGCATGGGTGAAGGGTAGCACCTGTCCGTTTCCAGCATGGAGGTGTCGTTGCCATGTACTTTGAGTCGGCCCTGTAGTGCTTCACCTTGCACTGGTGTCCACATAAAGGGAATCCCAAAGCAGGGCTGTTACAGTAAGAGGAGCTCATTTATACTAAGAGGTCAGCTCATCCAAACCTATTTCTCTGAGTGGTTTTCATGATGGCTTGCTTCATCTTAGGGGATGTACGTGGGTTCTCTTTCTGTTGAAGAAAGAGCAGGAGAGGAGGGGCTGTGTCAAAGCACCTACATTTTTGCTCATCCAGGAGGCCATGAAGAATAGGACTCTCCTTTGCCTCACTTGGGGATTGAGGCAGGTGAAATCTTTCGTGAACATGCCAGGGTGCTCAAGGAGAGCCTCAGCTCAGGTTGAGTGCTCCGTAGTCTGTTGCATCTCCAGAATGCTGCTCTGTGTGGCTGGCAGTAGTCTAGCAGGGTCCTGCACGTAGTGCCACCTCATAGTCGTGCCATAAATATCAGCAAATAACACAACACTGGACATTCTCCCACACTCACTATCCATTTGCTGAGTGCTTTCAGGGAATTCGGCTCATCATGTTTTAATTGCATAAAAAATATCCTGATTATGTTTAAAAACTTAACCAGTAATTAAATATTTCTCCCAATCTGTGTGCTCTAAATTATGACCTAAAACAGTCCATCTTTGTCTGTCAGCTCTGTATGTGGCTGGCAAAGAGTCTGGCCTAATTTGTTTAATTCTTTTTATTGTATTTTCTTTTGGAAAGACTCATCAAGGCTTTTAGTGATGAATGTCCAGCCAGGAAATGTCAAGGTTTTCCCCTTGAAAAGAAATCTGGTAGAGTGCAAGGTCTGTGCAGATCACACTGTATCTCTTTCCTAGGCTCATGGTGATATTTACTGCAGATAAAATTGCAGGAAATTTGGGTTCTGGACCATATTTTCATACTTGGAGCTTGCAATTACGTGACTAAAGAAGGGGAAAAAAAAGATTTATCAAATGTGCAGAGCACCTACAGTCCAGTTCTGTGCATCATTTTAATCACTGTTCCCTGTGATTTTTGGGCTTCAGCTTAGATGCTGCGTGTACAATTTAGACTTTCTTATTTTTATTGCTTAAGTGAGAAAAAGAGTTTTCCTGTATTTACTGCTCTACAGTCACGTGCATTTTGCTGGTAGGAAGATGGCTCTGCATGTGATGACACAGCCAGGAATCTTGATTGGAAACAGACTGGAAACAGCATCAGTCTGAGCTGTTCAGAACAGAGATGACAACTCAGGGAGTTCGTTCTTGTTGAGATGAGGGTACTATGGGGAATGAGCTGCAGCCTCGTAGCGTGTTCTGAATGAAGAAGGTGAATATTTCTTGTTCTAACATCGATGGGTTTATGTTGAACGATTTCCTGAACACACTTTCCTTTCCAGCACTGTATTCTTTGCTGCGGAACTGAAGCAGGTTGCTTGATGCAGAACCAAAGGAAGGCTTCTGGTTGTTCATGGAGGAGTTCGAACTTCAAGAGCTGAAGCTGAACTTTTCTATTTGCTGGAAAAAAACACCACGATCTAGCAAATACTATGCCATGTTTCTGAGTCTCAGGCTCAGAATATGTGCTTCCAACCAGGCAATTTTCATTAGGGCTGGTTGTTGATGTGAAAGGGAGGTTGCCTTTCTAAACGTAAGCGTGTATCAGAGAAGATACTCAAATGGGAATAAAGTGGATGGTGCTGAACCTGCAGATGCCTTTATGAGTGTTTCTCTTTGTTCATGCAGGCACAGCCACCCTGGGCTTGCTGCACCTTCTGAGTGCTCGCACGAGTGGCAGCTCTGTGCCTGAGACCAAGTCTCCCCATAGCACTGCACCACGGGCTGCAGGTGTTCGCAGCTCGGTGTCGTTTGCTCTGTCTATCCACACATTGTTACTCAGGAAAAACAAATGACAGCTGAGTGGCACAAGCACAGCAAGTTGCAGGAAGTATTTCCCGGAATGTCCTTCATGCATGGCAAAGAAAGCAGAAAGCAAAGAAAGCAGAGCAGAGATGAACGGAGCTGAGAGAGAGACTAATTTCCCCAGAAATTCATTTGACAATGCTGCTTTCTCTGTTTGGATTTATGTGAGATGTTGCTGCTGCAAACCAACACTCGAGGCAGTTGGGCCAGATTGGCTTAATTTAATATGGAACTCGATGCTGAGTTTATGATGCCTAGCACCATTCCTCAGAAGCTCTGCTTCAAATCAGAGCTGGTGACTTAAGAGCTGTGACATGTAATAAGAGACCGTCAGTCCTTTGGGATGAGGAGTTCCTGAGAATTCTGTGCAGAACTGTTGGCTAAACCAGAATTTAGACAACTTCACCTCCACCACCTCAGTGGGTTCGAGACTTTGAGCAAATAAATCATTTATGTTCTGAGCCATTTTACATTGCTTATGTATGTTTTTTTGGAGGAAAGCAGGCAGAGGAATTTCATCACAAGTATTTAGCATACTTGAATGCTGATTTAATTTGAAACATTTATTTCCTTAGGGTGCCTTTATACAAACCTTGACTTAAACTGTCTGCTGAGGAGCATTCTGTGTAACTTCTAAGGAGTCCCACTTCAAAGAAAGCCTTCCCACTTGCATCTAGCTTTTTTTTTTCCACCATATGTAATTGCAGCTGCTTTTTGTAGATTTGATTGGATTTTGGCCATTGGTAGTGCACAAAATACTCTTGATAATGCCAGAATGCTAACGACTGAGTGCTGTGGTTCATAATGATCTTAAAGCTGGAGGGTGTGCATCTGGACACATGATTAGCAACACGTGGCAAGGTGTTAAGGAAGGAAGCCTCAAATTCAGAGCGAAGCAAGATGAAGAGCCAGGTAGCCCTAAAGCCTGGGGATCCCGTCCTGTGGGATCTCACATGTCTGGTGGCAGTGGTTTTTAATATACCTCCAATTTCCTCCTGAGCAAATTCACCCTGAGAGTTCTCAATAGAAGCTGCTTCTTGGCCAAGTTCCTCCTTCCATGTCACCACGATCCCACAAACAGAACTGGTGACTTGTTTTGCTGCCTGCTTTTTGTCTTGGTGGCCATTACATGAAGATGATGTGATGTGCTAATATGGCAGGATTGGGAAATAATCTGCAGTTGGTCCAAGCAGGTCAGTCTGCAGACATAGGGGACCAAATAAATGTGGTTGTCGTCAGATTGCACGGTCCATGTGCTGCTTGACTTCCAAACCCAGACAAACTCATCAGCCCGGGTCACCAGGAGCAGTTGTATGAGGCGTGTGTGGGAAAGCATCAGTGGGAGAACAAGAAAGTGTATTTCTGCCTTCAGCTCTGAATAGAGCAAGATGAGTGCTGTATCAGAAACAGCTGGATGAATGGGACATTTCAAGCTAATGGTGCTAAGGAAGAGGCAGAGACTGGAAAATGCTTTGAATGAAAAATGTTTTTTTCCCCCAATTATTTTTTTTTTCTCTTGTTCAAATGTCTCTTATGTAATTCCTGGATTTGTGCTTGTCTTTGTGCTTAGGAGAGAGCTTTCATTCTTCATTAGCAGTGTGACAGACAGGCTTAGTACAAATTTACAAAACACTTGGTGGTAGCATGCATATAAAGTGAGAGGATGAGACTGTCTTATTTAATACAGGGCAGGGTGCTGAAGAAAAGTGCTGAGTGAGAACTGGAAGTCTTGCTGTGTGGATTGTGCCTCTGCCTGCTGGATTCTCAGCTTTTGCTCCCTCTCTTCTAGATGATGTCCCCATACGAACCTGGTTCCCAAAAGAGAACCTCTTCAGTTTTCAAACTGCTACTACAACTATGCAAGCGTAAGTGAAACCACTGCCTTAACTTTGGTTGTGTATCTCCAAGTCTGTGGCCCACTCCAAACTATATCTGAGAGCACAGAGCAAATTGAATTGTGTATTTGACACTGCAGCTTGGGGGAGAGGGCACTTTGTGTCTTGTCCATTATTTTTTGCACTCATTATTTCTCTTTCCTACTATTCCCTCTTGTATAAGTTCTTGGGCTATGCAATTCTCCTCTGCTTCCTTATTTTCTCTGTGATGCTGTCCCTGACTGCCTCTGCAGAGCATGGGTGCTGTGGGAACGCCAGCTGAAACCCTCCTCCACTGCCTCTGCTCCAGCCACTGCTCTGGGGGAATATTAATCCAGGCCTGCCCCCCATCCATTGCTCCAGAGAAGTGTGTCTCTGTACTATGAGATGTAGCCCTACAGCTTAGTGTGTTTTTCCGGTAGAGGGCATCAGTAAATATCTGCAAAGCATGAGAGGATCTGGTTTAGGAGTAGTTTCTCCCTTTACACTGCATGCAGGATTTGGTGCTGCTGGCTGCTGTGTGTGGAGAAGCAACTTTTCTGAAAGGACTTAAGAGAGAAAATGAAGCCTCATTTCAAGATTGTACCCATCTTGTCAGGGTATGACATCTTCCTGGTTCAGGTATTTCCTCCCTGGCTGAAAAGGAAAGGCAGGCAGTGTGGAAGATGAGTTGATGTTCTGCTTTCTAAAGTCTTTCTCCAGCCTTACCACCTTCTTGTCCTTCTTCCTGTATCCATGTCACCCTCCTCTCTGCTGCTCCCTTTATTTCTGCTTGTTTAACCTGGTGTCCATTTTGTGATCTGTTTCTCTGCCACCTCTTTCCCTCAGACATTGCCTTCCCCAGGTGCCCAAAAGAAGCTGCTGGTTGATCTTGGGATAACCCAGACTGAATCAGATCTGCATTGATAAGGTGGAGAAGGCTGGATCCAGTGCTGGGGAGAGGGGTAGCTGCTGAAATACAGAAGGAATCTCTCTCCCCTAGAAGAAAGAGCTTATCTTTATGCTCTTTCACTCCTCACATACCCCAGCACAGCTGGAAGCACAGCCCATCCTGGGGAACAGGACGGGGGGGCATTTACATGCTGCCAGTCTGCAGCTCCTCGTGCTGCTTCTCTTACATAGCACCTCCATATCTCTCTGCCTCCTCTCTGAAGCTGCAAGTATGGTGGCACCTTCAGCAGGTTAATGCTCATTGGCACTGGACTCACAGGGCCTGTGAGCAATCTGAGGGCAATTTGCTGCATTTTTGCTTTGTTCTTTATGAACACTGGTGTTTTAGAGTTCTGATCTGGCAAGCCAGACCATGCACAAACCCAGCACATTTCGTTTGCTGGTGGGCACAGCCCTTGTTACCTGCAGTCACCTTTGCTGTGCATGTGGTTTGTGGCAGGATGCTGAGCTTGGAGCTAATGGAGACCAAAGTCAGGCAGGTGTGGAGAATGATGCCCTAAGGAAACACGTGAGGAGCACAGCTCCCTTGTTTTAAGGTAGCTGCTAAGATAATGTCTCTAGGAAGTCTGAGCTGCTGGAATTCACACAGAAACATCTCCAAGAGTTCAGGGCACCTTCTTGAGCTGGCTGGGAGGTTCCCAAGCCCCTGGCTTCTGCTGTGAAGTTTTCAGCCCTGGGCTTGCTTCCTTCTCAGGGTGGGCAATGCGGGCTGATTTCACAAGTCACGGGTGCTCAGGGGACAGGAGCTCCCTGCTCCATAACCCCCCATGCTGAGCTGCTGCTGTATTCTGACAGGCAGCATTCTGTTGTCAGTTTTACACCTGCGTGTTCTTTGGGTCTGCATGGAGACCCAACGAATTAATTTGCACCATGTGATGATACTGCCTTGGAGATTTTAGCTCAGTCAAGCTGGAGTTTGATCACTGAGAATTAACTTAAAAAGTGATTTCCTTCCACCTAACAAGAAATATTTGTCCCTTCTGAAGTGAGGATCCCCTCGGGATGCCGCGCAGGGCTGAGCATTAATGAATTCTTCTTTCTTTTTTTCTTTGCATCTTCTGGAATCTCTAGCATCTCGTAAGTATAATCTTCTATTTTTCATTTCTTTGTCTGTTGATGTATGGAATAAACTGTCCTCTCCTCTCCTGTCCAGCATATTCATTCATGCTTTCCCTGTGCTACGACTGTTGGTCAGCTGAGAAGAGGTTAGAGGCTACGCCTGCTGTGCCTGTATGGATCACACTGCAGCCATCCTCACCTTCAGGATTGAAGCTAGCAAGCTTTTGTCCCTCTTGAAACTGGTGCACGGAGGCTTTGTGTCTGCAGTTTCCTAGGTCCATTCCTCCATGGCAGGGATGACAGCTGTCAGCCCCTATTCTTTGGGTAGTTCTGTGGCCACTGCTATGCTTTCTTTAGGAGCCATCTACTCTAGTGAGGACCTTTGGTTTGGTGACTGTTGGCCAGCCCTTGACTCTCACACAGTCCTGCAAGGCCCAACTGTCTCCCTCAGGCAGCCTAGTCTATTTCTGTTGTCTGGTGAGAGCTTTCCTGTCTGCGTCTTGTGTCCTCTCCAGTTCAAAGCTGTGGAGTTGGTTAATGGCTTAAAATGGTTTCCCAGGGCATTCAGGGGCTACGCAGAAAGGAAGAGACGGAAACGAGAGAATGATTCTGCAGCTGTTATACAGAGGTAGGGCCCTTGTCTCCCGCAGCCGTGACCGTGCCTGGTGTTGCATGGGCCCCCACAGTGTCATTAGTGACGCTTGATGATGTTGAACGTGGTTGTCCCTGTCTGTGTTGCTGTTGGTAGGGACACCAGCAGTGCCTGTGATGGAAATATGGAAGTGAATGATGCTACAGGTCTGGGGATAGCTCATCCTTCTTAAAGGAACGCTGTCAAGTTTATTTTTAAGCTTCTCAGTATAACATGGGGAAGCATGTTAATTTTCAGGCTGAAAATTAAGAATGCAATTCCCCCAGCCCTTTCCTAAATATCTGGAATTTGTTTGAGGTTAGCTGAATATCTGAACAGTCACTTCATGTGTTATTGTTACACCTACTTAGGTACATTGAAATGTGAGGCATGAGGAAAATAAATGTATCTATTGTCCAGAAGCCTGTTTTACTTTTGTTTGTTGGTTATTTGTTTCTTCTTGTTGTTTTAAAGGACAGAAAGGAGAGAAAAGAGGATTGGTTCCTCATCCTGTTATTACCAGAGAGCCCTGGTTTGCAGGGCGCATCACTTGGTCACTGTGGTAATCAGAACAACTCTGTTGTTTGAAGTGTGGCCAAGACTTGTGTGTTTTGGCAGCTTGTGAGGAAGGATAACACAGCATTTGTGTCATTGGCTAAAAACTGCCTTGATTACTTCAGCACTGTTCAAAACAAAGTGGGAGAAAAACATCAGATTTTCACAATGGGGAAATTGCCAGGAAGATATTTTCTTTATCAGTAGGTGTTTGTTCTTTGGTTTTTTTTCCATCAGTTGTGAGGACAAATGCAAATCAAAACTGAAGATGTGGTAAATAAACAGACGGTGTATCTTTAAAAGCAAAGAGATTTCTCATAATTCGTTAGACAGAGACGAGCCTCTGTCGGATGGTGACTTGTTGACACAGCTTGCAGGTGCAGGAGGGGAGCTGTGCACCTCGGTGATGCTGAGCACTTGGCACTGCGGGTGTCACACCGGCCTCGTGGGACAGACTGCTCTGAGGAACCCAGGAAGGATTGTACAGCAGAGCTGTCTGCATTGCCCTGTGGCAGGGAGGAGGTGGGACTGCGGTGCTGATGAAGGTGATGTGGTTTTTTGGCTGGGCCGTGGCAGCAGACCCCGGTGTGTAAGGATTGCCTGGCAGGTAGCGCTGAGGAGCGAGGAGGATCCCAGCACTTATCCCAGTTTCAGGTGCTTGCTGCACAGCCCTTTGCAGCCTTGGGTGTTTTGGAAGGTCAGTGGTTATTGCAGAACCTGCAGTGCACAGCCTGGTGTGCTGTGAGCTGAGTTTGTATGGCACTGCTACCTGCTGGCATGAAGGTGCTGCCTTGAGGGAGGGCAGCACCCGGTGGTCTGATGAACCAGTGGCTGATCCCAGCTGGGGAGGAGTTCTGCAGAGCTCTGATGTACTGCAGTAATCCCAACTGTCATTCACCTCTGAGATAACAAAGATGCTGCTCTTCAGAGAAGAGATGGAGCACTGCAGGGGGTGCTGCAGGATAGGGAGTAATAAAGAGATTTTATCACTGTAACTTCAGGGCTGCTTTCTGGATTTTGATGATGAGATCTTAGTAGTGAACATGTAACACTGGGCTTTCAAGGTGCAATTTTAGGAGCCAGGCAAGAGGATTGGGCAGGTTTATGGCTGCTCACAGGGCAAACTGCTGCTCCCCCAGTGTCCCTGAATGGTGGTGAAAGCCCATGCTTTCATGCTAACATGTCAGCACAGAGGGGCCTGCGTCCAGGTGGCTGCAGGATGCCCACACTGAGGTAGTCCCAGACATGGATCTCTTTTCCAAAGTGCTTTGTCTAGAATAGAGCTGAGGGGAGAAAAAGGTTCTTTGTCCCATTCTGTAAATGCTTAATGCAGAGGGTAGCCCTGAATTTTCCTTGCAGCCACTCACAGCTGGTTTTAGAGGATGTATCCAGAGAGCTGCCTTCAGCCCTCACTAATGGGAGAGGACCAGCTGGGAGCAGCACTGTTTTGTGGCAGACTGGTCCCCAGCTCCAGAAGAAGCTCCTCTCTGGAGGGGAGAACTGAGCATTTAACCAGAAAATGGATTTCAAAATGCCAAAAGCCCTGAAGCCTGTAAAGGCGGCCTTGGCAATTAATTCAGTGTTTGGTGTCTGGCGTAAGCTTGGTTTTGCAATGGCCCGTAAAGAGTTCATTCTGGTGATTTACCACATTTAAGACCTGTTGGTTTAAGGAACGTCCCTGGTCCCCTTAGAACATAGCTGATTTGAATCTAACATGCTGTAAAGCACCCTGGTGATCAGTTACTGTGCACTGCTGAAGGCTTTGCATACAGAGCAGCTCAGGTCGTCCTTCTTGAGTTGCTGTTTGGATTCTGATGGCTGCATGGGATCTGAAGCCAAAGAAGGGACAGTGCAGACCATGGCATGGGCTCTTCCTCTCCCAAGAGCTGCACCTGTGTTGATCTTTCTAAACCAGAGTAGATGTGTCTGCCTTGCTCTGTATGCCTCAATGTCAGTGCTGAATGTGCCTTCCAGTCCAGCCAGTTTGTTCAAGTGTCTGCATGGTTGTACCATGTCCTTACTCATTCTACTAACTGGTGTGTGCTGCAGACAACTTGTCATTTCATCTCTTTCACCAACAACGGTCTCTGTTGTGTGATGTCTGTGGTGTACATTGGAGGGGCAGAGGGGATCCAGGACCCCCTGCTCCATACAGGCTGCAGGTACGTGGGTCACTGCTATCCCCTCAGGGCTGCAGTGCAGGCTGAAGTCACCTCACCTGAGCAGGGTTCAAGGAGGAATGGAGCCTTTCCTTGCTAGTCCACTTGCTGCTCATCCCCTGTGTCTTTTCTGCTGTCCAGTTTGGTTCCTGTCCTGTTCAGTTACTGTCTAGGTGAGTGATGAGAAATCAAGGGAGACAGGTCCCTTGCTCTAAGGAGGATGTAGGAAGAGTCCCTTTGCCTCATAGCATCACTCAGGTTGGAAAAGACCTTAAAGATCATCGAGTCCAACCATGACCTAACCATACTGCCCTAACTATCAACCCTCCGCTAAATCATGTCCCTGAGCACCACATCCAAATGGTTTTTAAACACATTCAGGGATGGGGACTCAACCACCTCCCTGGGCAGCCCATTCCAGTGCTTAACAACCCTTTCAGTAAATAAGTATTTCCTAATATCCAACCTAAACCTACCCTGGCACAGCTTGAGGCCATTTCCCCTCGTCCTGTCACCAGTGAGAAGAAACCAACCCTGCTCTCGCTGTAAGCACCTTTCAGATATTGGAAGACAGCAATCAGGTCTCCCCTCAGCCTCCTTTTCCCCAGACTGAACATGTTCTCAGGAGTTGCCAGGATGGTCTGCTTTATGCAGACTGTGAGGTGCTGCTGTGTCCCTGAGGCTTGCCTTGGGTGGGCTTTCCTCTGGAACTGAGAACTCTGCAGCCCTACTGAAGTCTGCCTGTGGTGCTGGGCAGGAAAGCACATAGTTAGACAGGGAGCCACAGAGAGCTGGCTGGTGAGGGCAGTCAGCCTTGCTGAGCAGTGCTTCCAAGAAGGAAGAAGCTGAAGAAATATTTCCCAGCATTTCGCTCTGGAGAGCAGTATGGGCTGCGTGGCTGCTAATGGTGCTGCTGGGATTTTAGCAGCTGCTCTGAATGTGTTTGGGAATGAGCACAGCCACGAGCTGTGTGTGCATGCTGCAAAGCCCAGGGCACCTCACTTTCCTGCTGGTGCATGTGTGGAAGAAAAGAGAGGGGGGAGAAGCTCCTGCTGCTAACCAGGAAAAGAAGGAGTGTTGCTAGTATGGGCTGCAGCTGCTGCAGAACGGGTGCCTTATGTACAGGAGAGTGGGGAAAAAGCCCACAGCAGCCCATGAGAATGGGACAGCCAGATAGAACCTCACTTGCTCTGTAACACTGGTCCAAGAGGGTTCAGAAACAACCGTGTGCTTGACAGACATAACCCTGAGCAGAGGCTGGGTACCTGCTCTCAGTGTTTGAATGCCTTGAAGGAAATGAACTGTCTGTCTTCCCATTTTTTCCCTTTCCAGCTTTTTCAGTCCTCCTGGGCCCAGCTTCATATTGCCTTTCTCAGAGGTTTTGTTTGAACTTTCTTACAGGAATTTTCGGAAGCACCTCCGCATGGTGGGGAGCCGAAGGGTTAAAGCACAAAGTAAGTGAGAACCTGTATGATGTGGCTGTGAGGAGTTGGGGTTTGTGCTGGTGGTTTACAGGGAGCCCAAGTTGTGCACAGATACCAATAGAAAGGAGTTAGCACTGGGCTGGAGGAAGGATTTGACCTGCTGATGCCATTTTACCTTATGAAGAAAAGGCCAGGTTGTTGCAAGTCTCCAAGACACATGGATATCTGCACGCAGCCTTTAAGCTGTTTCCAAAGAAGCTCTGCATAGGCCATGAGAAATTTGCATCCTCTCTGAGGTGTGGAAGAGCTGCAGCATCCTTGTCCCACGTCTGCATGGTATTTGGTGATCAATGGTGTAGCAGCGAGGAGAACCAGAGCTGAAAGTCGAGCAGAGTGAGCTGCCTGGCTTCTCGCTGAAGGTGTGGACCTGCTGTGGTTCCCTGGAGGCAGTTGGTGCTTTGTGTGCCGTGTGGACCCGTGGCTTTCTCTTTTCTCCTCTCCTATCCCACCACCACATCTTCCCCACAGCAGGGCCTGGGGAGAGATGCCCAGTGGGATCTGAGAGGAAAGTCGTGCAGAGAAAGAACAGCAGGAAAGAGATGGGAGCAAGGGGGTAAATAAAGGGAGCGTTATGCCTTACTTGGCAAGGAATCACCTCTTCGGCCTGGGAAACAGCAGTTCTCTTTCCATGAGGAAGGCAGTGCTTCTCCATAACTTGGCTGGAACAGCTCTCATAGCTGTGGAATGGGCTGAGAGTGGTGTAGCCAGCACCTGAGAGCTGAGAATTGTTCCAGAGAGGAAACAGCTTGTCCTTGCCACCACCTGGCCAGATGTCGTGTACAGACTGCCCACAGCAAAAGTGTTGCTGGGTTGAATTTGAGTTGAATTTCCTCTCCATTCTGATATGCTGTGGGAAGTAGACAGCAAACAGCATTGCCTTTTAAAGTGTCTTTATTGGCATCTGAGTTAGCATTGCCTGAAATGAAAAGGGCTCACCTTCACCTAGAGCTGTCTGTAAGTGCAGGCATGCCTCTCTGCCTTGGTAACTCTCGGGTCATGTTTTCAAAGCTTTCTCCATGTGCTCAGTAGCTACATGTGTTGTTTTAAGTGAAAGCTGAGGATGGAAATCACCTGAAGAACTTTCCATGTGACTTGTTTCCCTGGACCTTTGCACTTGGACACTGCAGCAGAGGACAGGCTCTATCTCAGCTCTTGTAATGCAGATCTGCCCTGATTTCCTGTGTTGCTGATGTGAGATGCTGTCACTGCTATTACTGCAGTGAGCTTGATCTGTCTGCTACTAGAAATAAGCACGAGTGGCCCTAAGTGGCTGTTAATCTAGATGTAATGGCTCTCCCAGGGAATTGCCAAGCTAGACATTATGGTTGGTGATTCTCAGAAATCTGCCTGCAGGGCAATCAGCTGGGCCGAGCTCCCTGGGTTCCGCTTGGGAAATGCCAGTACAAATGGCCCTTGAAGAAATAAAAATATACATATATCTATTAAAAAAAAAGGGGGAGGTGAAAAATGCTTATACCACAGCAGGTGAAGTATTTCTTCTGCTGCCAGAAAATTTGGAAAGCATGAGCTTTCTAAAGGCCCCTTCTCTGATGGAACAGAACAAGAAGAGAACCTCCCAACATGGGAAAAGGGAGAAATGACTGGATAGCTGCCTTCTTCTAGTTACAAGTGTCATTAGCTGTTGTGTGTGCACTTTCTTGTGAAGGCTTTTGAGTCAGAGCATTTACAGTGGGATATTGGCATCGCCCTGATGAAACTGAGGTTTGAGCAGTGCACATTTAAGGAGTGACCATCGAGCGTTCTCTTTTTTCTGTGTTACGTATCCTGCAATGGCTCGGGTCAGAAAGTGGGCACTTCTGCTGCTGCTGTCTGGAAGACAGACCCTCGTTTGCTGTGTGGAGAGGACTCACGGTTGGCAAGTGGAAGAACAAGCACTGGGGAGATCGTGATGTGTAGCTTTGGTGGAAATCTACTGGATGTTTTGTTTTGCTGGCAGCAACCGAGGTGGCTTTGGAGTCTGTTAATGTCGTGCTTTGGTTTTATCCTAGCATTTGCCGAACGGCGTGAGAGGAGCTTCAGCAGGTCCTGGAGTGACCCGACTCCCATCAAAGCTGATTCCTTCCATGACTCTCGAGAAAGTGAGTTCTGAGTCCTTTGAGCTTCCTCCTGTGGCCAAACCCTCCAGCTGAGGTGTTGACTGGAGTCCCACTGGAGTAACTTCTCTGTTCCCTTTTGTCCCATTTGTTATCCTTTTAGTTTCATGAGATCTGAGCAGATAATACTCTGGGTATATGCACCTGGTCATCTGTGTGTACCTATACTTACAGGTAGAGCACAAGCACATCTATCCTCATGTTTTTGTGCAGCAGCCAAAGGACACGCAGTCGTACAGCTTTCTTATGGCTCTCTGTTCCCACCATCCCTTGTTTGCTTGGGGGCAACACCCTACTTGGAAGCACACCAGTCCAAAGTTGCATTCACCACAGAGGGGCAAACCTTCACAGTCTCCTGTGCAAGAGCCCCTTCTGAGCTCTTCTGTAGCCTAGAATAATTTGGGGCACAGCTGCAGTGCTCCATGAAGCATAACTTTGATTTCCTGTCTGTGCAGGCTGCACAGATGATAGGTTGGGGCAATCTGATCTTTGGGCTGCCAGGAATTCCTCTGGAAATCCTCAGTAATGCTACAGTGTTCCGCCTGTGGGGACCCAGGTGCTGCTGTGATAATTTACAGAAGGAAATGCCAGCATCTTCCCAATTTGTTTATTTTTTTTTTGTAAAGAGAATGGCCGATTCACCCAATATTATTTGAAATCCTGCAGGGAAGGGGTTAATGGTTATGAGTTTGCCCATGCTGACATGGGTTGTATTCATTACATAAACTTCACTACTGAAATCAACTGACCTTTCAGGTAAGCATGAGGTCCAGCCCTCCTGGTTGGAGATCACACCGTGCCAGGTTGCAGGGGCAGAGGTACGAAAGGCCAGGTTCAAAACATGACCCGATGGTTCCTTTGCAGTCTGATTCTTCCCTGCTCCCTCAGCTAACTCAGAAGCGAATGGAAAAGACATGGTTCAGACAGATGTGTCTGGTGCTCCAGCACTGTCCAACGACACTTGGACATACCAAAAGGCACAAGTGGAGGCACCTCTGTTCTCTTTCCTCACTCCCTGGCTTAAGGGAACCATCTTTATTTTTAACATTTAACGGTCAATTATATTCCTTCCAGATAGTTTTTTCCCCAGGAGGCATTGAAGGCCAACAGGTAAGGTGAATTCGGAGAGCAAATTCAAGTCTACTGTGGAAATACTGCTGTGTTTGCTACGGCCGTCCTCGCGCTCTAGGATTCTCTGCCAGGATCAATTTGACTAAGAAGGCAGAGTTTCTGTATAAGCACTGAGAAAACATAGTCGGACCAGTAATCATTACAAGGAGACCAGTTTTGGAGTCTTTGGAGACTTTTGCTCATCAGCTTGGCAATGTTAAATTGTAGAGAGTCTGTCTGCATTCCATCTCCTTCCCCACTTCTGAAATGACAGGGTGACTGTTGTGATCAGCATCTGAAAGCTTACACTTGTGAGACTGGTGAAATGTTATGTGATGTGTGGTTCAGACTCTGTGTGTGCACTCGTCGTTTGTCAAGAGAGTTTGTTTAGAGACGCCAGCCCCAACGTGTGGTGTCTGTCACTGTGTTGGAAGGAAGGAGGGCACAAGGCTCATGGCTTGTGGTGCTTCTTGTGAGGTAGCTGCCAGACAGGGCTGAGTGGAGAAGGCAAGCTGTTCTGCCCTTGTGATGCACGTTGTGTTCTGACAGGCCATGATCTTCAGGATTCCTGTGGCACTTTGGATGGTGACTTTGACTTGAACTGGGAAGCAGAAAAGGAGCTTGAAGCCATGGCGTGTGATGGAGAAGACTTTATTCCACCAAAAATAATGGTGAGCATTTCCAAGCCAAGCAACCTTTAGCTGTTTGGGCCCTGACTTCTGACAGCTGCTAAGTTTAGGATCTGCAGGGTGAACGAGAGGACTGTCCATCCCTGGACATCACAGAATCACTCTCACCTTGAAAAGCAGTGCCTGAAATCACAGCACAGCCAAATCAACTGCATCTCCATCGCAGTTTGGCTTGTGCTAACGACAGGCCTACCCAGTTAGGCTTTTAACGAGCTGGCTGAACACTTCATCCAGAGCTGCCAAGCAGCCTGCATCTGCCTGACATCCTATGGCTGTGTGTGCCTGTGTCACCTTATCCCTTGGCCACTGCTGTGCTCAGCCCTGGCTGGTCCTGGCTCAGGCATGCAGCCATCCCACCTCTGGCCCACTGAGCACATGAATTTGAACAGTCCTCTCCAGCCAGAAGCATAAAACCTCACACAGGGAAGGCTGTACAGCAGTGATCTTTACTGGGCTGCAGCCAGTCTTGCTGGGGTCTGCAAGCAGCTGCATCCTCTGTGCCCACCTATCTCCCCTTTACAGGCTGTCAGCTCAGACTCAGTCCTTACTACTGGACAAGCTGTGCACTCAGTTGGTGAGGGCTGGGGGAACTGTGATGCTTGGGAGTACTCCACAGGCCTGAGGATGCTCTGAAGTGGACTAAAGGCTTGGAGGACCTTCTGCAGCAATACAGATAGTCTGGATTATCTTCTGGTTTGGATAACATGTAGGAGGTGCAACTGAACAAGGCACTGTTAGCATAGCCTTTGTGCTTCTGAACTCTCTATTGGCCTCTCCTCATCCTGTTGCAATTCTCTTTTTTTCTTTACAGCTCATTTCTTCCAAGGTGCCCAAAGCTGAATACGTCCCAACAATTATTCGCAGGGACGATCCCTCCATCATCCCCATTCTCTATGTGAGTATATTGCTTCTGCTCTGCCCAGGAGGGTGGAACCTGGCTCCACAGAGATTTATTTTCTTTGTTCCTAGTACAGTGATTCTGAAACACGATTGTGACTTGAAAAAGCTGAAAGGAAAGGGCTGGGTGTGTGCTGGACCCAGGTTTGGGATTTGGCACAGCTTTTGAGGAGACTCAGGTCTAAGTGGAAGAACAAGGTGGCATGAAAGCTGCACATGTGGGAGATCAGACTGTGTAGGCACAGCCAGGCAGTGGGGGAAGGTGAGCAAGGGAAGCCAAGACCAACCTGAACGAAACTTCACATTGCCATGCTCAAGACTTGTGTTTCTGCTTATCTTTAGGTAATGTAAGACCTCGGACAGTGGTGCTTCCCTGTCAGCCATGAATTTAAGCTTGAATTTGCCTGAGCAATGTCTAAAGCACCAGCAGGGAGTCATGGTCTCTTTTTCTTAATCACTTCACATTCATTTAATGTGAAAGGGAAGGGTTAGACTGACAGCCCAGAAAATTCAGTCTCTGTGCAGCAGACAGTGCTGTCAGGGTTTTAGCTCTGCTGTCTCCCTTCCACTGAGAGCTGTGCATCTGTACTGGTGACCCTGCTGTGCCAGAGGCAGATGGGTTAGGAGTGTTGGCCATTTGTTAGCCAACTTGGATGTGTACAGTACCATCAGTTGGATACACAACATGGGCCAAGAGGCAAATACTCACTGATGACACCGACAGTGTCTGATGGTGTATGCTTTGGGCTGGTCTGTGGGTTTCATCTCCAAGTCTTTAGATGAGGTTGGCCTCCAATGGACTATTTGGTCTTCAGCTTCTTTGCTGAGGTGTGTTGTAGGGTGATTATTCCTGCGATGCAACTAGAAGCCCCAATGGGTTAAATCATGCTTAAGGGTATGTTTGTCTGGGAGTGTGACTGTGTGATACTGAAGACCTGAGTAATGTCATGGAAGCTGGTGTAGTGGCAGCAAACCTTGCTACATCTGCCTCTTTTTGCTTTCCAGGACCACGAACACGCCACCTTTGATGACATCCTAGGTATGCTGGATGTTATTTCTTTATCTTAAGTCCTGCCTGCTGCGAATGTATCTGATCAGTATGTTAAGTCACTTTGCCCTGCACCTCAGCCACCATGTACAAAGGTGTTTTTATCACCCTAAGGACACCTGATGCTCAGTGTGGTGCTGTTGGATTTGCTGCCATAATAAAACTTCACTTCTGTAGGCAGTTTTCTGTGCTAAGCTCACAGATCATGAAGGAGAAGCTTGAAGCACAGGGCAGCAAAGATGCTGCTGTGAAGTACCCTTTTAGGTGAGCAGGGGCTCAGGACAGCTGGGTCTGGTACAGCACTGTACTCAGTAGAGAGCAGTAGCTGGTGCTGCTCTGCACCTTGCCTGCCTTGTGATGGGCTGTGGTTTCTTATTTTCCACAGCATTAAAGGTGAGGATTTGCTCTGACATTATTGAAAATGCATGCTGAGCACCTCTTGCAGCTTGACCTTCAAGACTGAACTCTACTGAGAAGAAAAGAACAATTTTGCAAGGTTCATTTTTCACTTCCTCCATGGCTCATCTTTCCCAAAATGTTTTGTTTTGTTTTCCAGAGGAAATAGAGAAGAAGCTTAACATTTATCGGAAAGGCTGCAAAATCTGGAAAATGCTGATATTTTGCCAGGTAATGAAAGTTGTTAAGAGGGGGAGTGGTTTGTCACAAATTTCTCTTTTTCTATAGGGGAAAGTACATGGAGGAACCAATATTCCAGTATTAGGTTCTGTTAGAGTAAATGCATACAGCTTTCACTTCTCCTTTACCCAGACAGCAAGCCATCACAAATTGCTGTGACAGCAGCAGATGACATTTAGTGTAGCCAGCTCCAGAGCTGGGTTGCTTTTCAGCTGCTTTCAAGAAAACCTAAGCAAACTTGCATTAGCGAAGCCCCCAGAAAGAGGTTTTTGGAGAAAGGAAGGAGTATGTCTGATATGATAGCTGCAAGTTTTTGTACAGCTTCAGTGTGATGCTGACAAGTGAAGGATGTCACAGATCCGACCAGCAGATGGCACAGCCTGGAGTCCCAGAGGAGGGAGAGGGGTGAAGGTGCAGGCAGAGGAAGCAGTGCTGGGGCAGACGGGCGCTGCTGTATCTGGGGCTCGGTGGGGATTTCCTTCCTGAGTCTCTTCTCCTGAGAGTTCAGCGCTGTGCTGCCCCAGCAGCTGTGCAGGGAACCTTGAAAGAAGTGAGGAAGTGAGCCTAACTTAAACTTCCTATTGCAGGGGAGTTGGGCCAAATGACCTTTCAAAGTCCCTTCCAACTCTAAGAGTTGTATGATTCGATGATAGGTGCCCCGTGCTGCAGAGCAGTAGCACTTGCAGCCCAATGACCTGGAGACTGCAACTCTTAATTTTCCTGATGTTGTATTCAATCTTTTTATGCTTGCTACTGCCAAATACCAGTTCTTCTGCAGTGACATCTTGCCTGCTTCTCCTGCTGTGCTCAGCTTCTTTCTGCCTACCACAGCAACTCCCCTAACACACCCCAATGAAAGGGACTTTCTTTTCTTCCCTACTGTCCTCCAGCCACCCACAGCAAAGGGCTTTCTTCTTTTTTCCTCTTATTGCTATGTCTTTCTAAAGCACGGTGAGCATAATAACATCAACAAATGGACAATCCAAGCCCCGACGTACTCTGTATGTGAAAATGTTCTGAATTAGTGCCTACGGTGTCTCCTGTGAAGGCTCTAGCAAGCTGTGCCGGCCTGGCGTGTCCACTGTGCTCCCTTGTGGCACTGCTGGGTATGGCTGCACGGAACAAGGAATATCTCCAGGGGCTGTTTCTTCAGGTGTTGTGCATTTGTCCCTCTCTCTCTTGCAGGGGGGTCCAGGTCACTTATACTTGTTAAAGAACAAAGTTGCCACTTTCGCCAAAGTGGAGAAGGAGGAAGATATGATCCTGTAAGTGACCGTGTTCTGTTCTAGAGTCACGTCGCGTTTTTCTGCTCTGTTTGCTCTGTGTTTGTAGCACGTGGTGTAGAAGGAGGGGCAGAGCTTACTGGGGTGGTTTAGCCTGGGGCGGATGAGGCAGAGAGGGAATTAAATAGCAGCTTACAACTCCGTGGGGGAGAGTTGGAAAGACGACAGAACCAAGCTCAATTTAGGGCTGGTGCAGCTTTGGGTCAGGTCAGCAGAAGATTTATGCTCTTCCCTGCTGCTTGGTGTGTCTCTGGACTAGAGGTCATCAAAAGAGAAAAAGGCATTTCCTTTCTTAGCAAAGGCCTTGCTGACAGAAACCAGAACATGCACCTCGTGCCTCTGGGGCTTGGAAGTCGCTGAGGTAGCTTTTCTTGGCAGGTGACCGGTGGCAGAAATCCAAGCTATTCCCCCACAGCTGTCTCTGATAACTGCCCTTCTAAATGCAGGGGGAAATGGAATTTGTCTCTGCAAAGCCTGCTCAAAGTCCAGTGCTGGGGCAATTTTGCTTTTCCTTGCAGAGAGTTAAGCTTTGCCTGTTTTGCTGCCCGCTTCCTTGTGCTGGCTCAAATGTAATTTGTCTAGCAGTGCTTCTTTGTGGGGGTGAGCTTGTATACCAACCTGTTCCTACACAAAAGATTGTTGGCATGAGAGCTGAATATTAAAATCAACATCTGTTCAGTGTTCTCATGCTCTGGCACAAACACCATCAATAAAAGGCACGTGCACACATGCTTCTGAATGTGCTGGGGGCATAGCAGATCTGACGTTGGTAATTCAAGGGCCTCCAGAAATCTGTGGGCATGCAGCTGAACGGGTGCTTGGAAGTGAATGTCTCCATCCCACCTGTGCATGGCTGGGAGGCAGTCCTGAGAAGAGCTTATACTGCAAACAAACATCTGATCACAGGCATCACAGGGGAGCTGCTGGGCTTTAGAGCCCACCTGTCTGCTCTAATAATCCTCGTGCAAGGAGGGTCACTGTATCTCATGTCCCTCAGGCACAGCATGCTAGTCAGTAGTGAGAAAAGTAAAGTGGATTTTAAAATGCTCCTGGTGGATTTTGCTCCTTTTTCTTCACCTTGAAGCTCCCTTGTCTCATTGGGCAGCTCCTCCTTCCCTACCACATGGCAGAGGCTCTGCCCCTGCTCTTCCTTGTCTAAGACCCTCCATCGCTCCCCGGGCAGCTTGCTGCTCAGGCTGTGAGCTTCAGGCCTCTCCTGAGCTGCTTGCACTCACGCATCCACCTGAGGAAATCAATTTCTTAATGATCTCTTTTATTTCTTCCAGCTTCTGGAAGAGGTTGAGTCGTCTGATGAGTAAAATCAATCCTGAACCAAATATCATTCACATCATGGGCTGCTATGTTCTTGGAAACCCCAATGGGGAGAAGGTAAGAGCTTTGTGGGTCACCTCTCTGGGAAGGACTGCTGAGTAGCACCAAGCCCAGGGAGGCAGCAGACACACTGTGCTGTCACATCCTCTTTGCTGGGTGGAACGTGCTGCATCCTATCCCACCAGTGGCTGTTAGGGGCTGAACCACCCTATGGATTGTGCCAACCCCAGAGGCAGAGAGGAATGGTTAGTGGTATGCAGGAAGGGACGGTGCTGAAGCCTCTAGGAGAACAGTCAGTCAAAGCATTTGATTTATTTACTGCTGAACTGGATGTTTTATTTAAAGGCCATGTAGTGGATTGTTTCCTGGAGGTAGGGGTGAAGGATGAGCAATTCTGGATGTCCTGTAGTTCATCTTTGTTTTCAGCTCCTAACTTTCTGTATGTTTTCCTTTCAGCTATTTCAGAATCTGAAAAACTTAATGAATCCTTATAGGGTTGCCTTTGAGTCTCCACTTGAACTATCAGCTCAAGGTAATTTTTTTCTGTGCAAAGAACCATATCTTCCACATCAGCCTACTTCCTTCCATGGGCATCTTCATGAAAAAGCAGCTTTGAGCTCCCTTAAGCCTTACCATGATCTTTTTGCTTGTAATCATCTTTAGTGTAGCTCATTTGCTGAGCCTAGCTTTCCCCATGCAATTCCTCTTGTTCACAATTTAGCTGTCCTGCTTCTTGTGCCTGAAGCTGCAGAACCTCTTCAGAACCACTGGAAGTGACAAATTGCCTAAATAATAAGCAGCTCTCCAGGCTGAATTTGGGAGATTCGTCATCTTACTGGGGTGTGTGGAGTCATTGGGATACATAGGAGCAGAACTCCAAGGGCGCAGGGGTTTCTTCTCCAGAGGGCTCAAGCCACTGGCACCAAGCAGGTTGTCTCAGTAGCAGGTGATTTGGATGGAGCCCATTGCAGCCATTCTGTATCTCAGCCCACTTTGCTTTCTTTTTTTTCCCCCCTGTAACTCAAGTTATTTCAAAGCACTGTGGATTTTTTCTTGTTCTCTTGTCCACGCATTTATGGGTGCAGTTTCACAAATGACATTCTGAAGTTGCCCTTGTTAATTTATCTCTGCCTTACCCCTCAGTACTTTCTTCTTTTGAAAGGTAAAGACACACAGCACTAGGCTGTAAGCTCTTGGGTACTTCCTGTGCTGCACACAACTGGCATTGACGCTGCTGGCTTATTCTTAACTCCCTCTTACCCATGTAGGAGTGTACAGGAGCTGAGCACATCAGTGCTGTGCAGCATTCCCTGTGCATGTCCTCATGTCCTGCCAAGGTTTGGCTGTGCAGAACCCAAGTAAACAGGCCTGTACATGAGTGACAAGAAGCAACTTGCAGGGAAATTCCTGGGTTTCTGCACAGCCCAGCAGGCAAGGCAGTGGACTCTGTGTGTGTACTTGAGCAGCTGATCATCCAGGGGGCTGGGCTGAAGACTGTCTGAATTTATCCCGTTGATCAGTCTGGGGCGCACTAAGAGCGTAACCCCTCTAATCCTTCTCAAAGTCATCTGAAACTAATCTTAATCAGGCCTCAAAAGTGAAAATCTCTTCCTTGAGCCCTGAGCCCGGGGTTGTTTGTGCCTTGTGTCTCCCAGTGCCACTTGCTGTGTCCAGCAGTGCCCCTGAGTGCAGTGCTCAGCCTGCAGTGCCTCATGAGAGCCCACCTGCAGTCCGAGGTGCAGGACTTACAGCAGTGTGTCCTGTTGAGCCTATTGCTGCCAGCAGAGAGAGCTCTGCAGGACAGGGGCAGCTGGTAGACGTTCATTTTCCCCCCAAACCCACAGTTTTTGTTTTGAATATTCCACGTTAATTATTTCATTGATTCCCCCCAGATTTTACAGCGAGTTGACTCTTGATGTGTAACAGTCTGAACTCTCAGAGTGGTGCCTGCTGCAGCCTGTTGGAGCCGTTGTCTGCTGCTCCACTTCCTGCAGTCAGCGCAGAGGTTCCAGGTCTGGAGACACACGCTGTGTTCAGTTCCCACCTCCACAGACCAACCTTGCCAGGGAACTATAAGGAGCCTTTCAGGGTCTGAGGATGGCTAAAAAGGTGCTTGCTTCTCACAGGCACCTTCACATGCCCCAGGTGCATGCTACATGTCACTGTTCTCCAAATGAGACATGCTGGCAGGTTCTTCTGTGCCCCTGTCCATATGGGTGTGCTGTTTCGTTTTGCTTTTGCTCAGTCTTGTTTCTCTGTCTTGCTTCAGTGTGTAACCCAGCCCTCTGCTTCATCTCTAGGTAAGCAAATGATTGAGACTTACTTTGACTTCCGCCTTTACCGCCTCTGGAAGACCCGCCAGCACTCTAAACTATTGGATTACGATGATATTTTATGATCTGGAGAAGACTTTGCAAGAAGTTGTTGATCACCAGTGTCCAAGAAGTCATGCTTATTGCAGAGAGACTCTTTTATTGGCACAGGGAGCCCTACAGGAGGCTGCAGTGCTAAAGGGAGGGAAGAAGGAGCCCTCGGAAGTGGATCGGGAAGAAAGTCTCCTGGGTCAAGAGAGACTGGAGGGGAAGGGGTTTGACGCCTCGCTGGCCTCGGGTCAGAGCCGTGGTGTCTCAGGAGGAGCTGTGTGAAGTGAGGACAGGATGGAGTTCCTTGCAGAACTGAGCTGTTTTGGGTCAGAATGGGCCAGATTTGATTCCAGGTCCTTTTAAAGACTTTTAAAGCTCAGGTTTTCTTACAAAAAATAAAAATAAATTACCCGTGCACTACAATGAAGAAGTGACCAGAGCACAGAGGAAGGAAGGTTTTGTACTCATGGGACCTTCTGTGCCTGGGGATCTTGGAGAGCAAGGACTGCTACACCTACTCCTGCAGGCTGACATCAAGACGATCCAGTGTCAATGTGAATATACTGGAATATAGAATTGAAGTCTAACTTTTTTTGGTTTTGTTTAATAGAAAATAAGTGCAATTTTTATAGAGAGGAGGGAGAAACCCCTCCTGGTATTTAATTAGTTAAAAACAACACACCAGTAACCAATAGATGAGGTATTTTTGGTCTGCTTGAAAATATATTCAGAATGGTAATATATCTTCTGTAGACATATTTAATCACCAGCAAACATGGTTTTAACGTAACCTAGCAGACCCTGCATGTCTGCTGCATTGATTAATCCGGTTTGGTTCATCACTTTCAGAGTAGCTGTGTTGCACAAATTGTATGTGCTCTCACGAATGTATATTTCTCCTCCAGTTAGACACAACTTTGTTACTTTCTATTTTGCTGCTTGCAAAACTATGTAACTTTAGTTTTGCTGAAATATTTTAGGTTAGAAATACGGTACTTGGCTGGGAAGCCTCGGCCAGGTTCACTATGATATAAAAATGAAGTAGAAATTAATAGCCATGGTAATTGTTCACGCCAGTATTTTGCAACGTGTTGAGATGGGCTCGTTGGGGGTGCTGTGTTGAGCAGTGAGGGTTCAGGCCATCAGACACCCTCCCAGGAGGTTGGGAAGAAATGCTTCCTGAAGAGTTCAGCACGGGTTTGTAGCATGAGATTGAATCTTCCCTGTGTTCACTTGATTGCAAGTTGTTTGGGCGTAGATCTCCTCTTTTCAGTGCTAGAAAGACCTGTTTGTTGGGCAGAGCTGCTCACATCCCTTCCTGTGCAGGGCAAAGCAAACGCAGGGTTTTGTTGCTGTGGTTTGAGAGCCCAGATTTGTACTTGACATTTGAGGGATCTATTTTGGAATAGATTTCCTTTGTGTTCCTTTAGCACAGGGACTGATTTTTGTTTTGGGAGGGGTTTGGTTTGGTTTTCTCCATCTGCAGCTCTTCAGAGGACAACTCAATACCACTTGCAGTCCGTGCAGGTCACCGGCTCTCCTGGGAGGGGATACACTCCATTTCTTATATAAGTAAAATGTACTGGAGGTGAACAGGGAGGATTAGGGTTGTTTTCCAGGTTAGGATTGTTTTCCTGATTTCCTGGGGCCTAAATTATCAGATTGTGACGTGATGGCAAATATGTGTACAGACGTTGCTTTAAATACTTGCAAAAAGCAGTAGTTGTTCTGATCTGTAGAGTACTCCTTCCCTCTGTGATGTGTGTGGTGTAATCCTGGGGGCAGGCTGCTGGCTGGAACTGCTGAACCCTGTACATTTAGAGCAGTTTCGTAGCAAAACTTTTGAAGAAAGAATGTACATATGGTGTGTAAAGGGAGGAATGGTTGGAGAGAGGGAGAGGTTGGAGCCGTGAAGGCAGCGCATTGAACCAAACAGCTCACAGCTGCTTCTCTGCCTGCTGGGCTCCAGCCCCTGAGCTGGCTGGGTTTCCAGACCTGCAGTGAAGGGGACAGGCTGTGACTTTTGGCAGAAAATGCCAGATCTAAACCCCAAACCCACATGGATACCAATTGTCTGTTCCTTAGCGTGGCAGCCTCCACCAGCTGTGCTTGTGAGAGGTGGGAGCCACAGGTTCAGAAAGCAAAATCACGTGTTATTTAGAGTGTGGTCGTGGCAGGATTAAAATGCTGATACAAAATTCTCCCTTTGTGACCCTTTTGCCTCCTATGGTTATTGCTCCTAACTGGAGACTGACAACTTGTTCTTCCTCTTTCTTTTCTGAAGTGAAATCCCAATTCGGTGAACTTGGTAGCATGGATGTAGCATTGTGGAACTATTGAAAACCTTCTATATCTGGGAAAGGGCCCATTTATGTCCCCACTTCAGTGATTTGTCTGTACAATTATTGTGTATCTATTAGCACTGACCACTTGTGGAACTCGGGTTGCAAAGTAGAAAGGTGTTTCTTGCATAAGCACTGTAGGAAGATGTGTGTTGGAACAAGCAGCACGCGCTGTTCTGGTGCAGCTGACTGTGGTGCAGTGCAATGACAAACTGACTGCGTTCCTCTCTTTTCCAAAGATCTATAATCAACATAGCTTGTGATGTTTATGACATGAGTGTATTGTTTCTGTTGTAGCATTCTTTTGACTCGAGAGATGAAACACTCTCAAAGCTGTGACTGGGGAGACAGCAGAGTGTTGATGTTTTCTGTGCAAGTAGCGTCATTGAAGCGTTGACTGTTTAGATGGAAAAAAAGGAATTCTTCCCCTTTTAACCTCTTGAATTTTGTAAGCGGCTGCTGGGGGGAAAAGGAGTCAGCAGAGAATAGGGTGGGAAACAAACAAGTGTAAGCATTACAAATAGAGCCTGTGACTCCTCAGCAGGACCAGCCTGCACAGGGTGACCTGTGTGCATGCTGCTGGCGGAGCCGAGTGCAGTCTGTCCTGCCCAAGGCCTCTCTGTGCTTCCTCCAGCTTTGAACTGCGCTGTTGGGATGCATCTGTCTGAAGCCATGGAACTGCTTTGCTCACACACACTAATTGCTGTTTGAGCTGGAGCTGCCATGTAAGAAAGGGGATCCTGGGGAGCAGCTTGCAGCATGGTTGTGCCCACGTTAACCTGCTCTTCTGGGGGATCTGCAGCCCTTCTGCTGCGCTGTGCTTTGGGCTCTGCCCCAGCACGGCCATTCTGCTTGCCTGCTGCTCCTGCAGCTCCAGGGGTTGGATTTGCCCTTAGCAGGGGCTGGAGAAACCATGATGTGCAGTGCAAGTCCTGGTTAACCTGGAGAGAAGTGGGATAAACTGGAATAGCTACATGGGAGCACCTCAGCAAAGTGCAGGCTGTGACTCCAGCCCTTTACTTACCCTTCCTACTGAGGAATGCCAATAGAGAGCTCTGCTGGGCTCAGACTGGGAGCAGCCCTGGCAGCTCGGTCGCCTTGCTCCAGAAGCTGGGGATGCCCATCTCTTTGGTTGTAGCACTTGTCCTGTACAGGGCTTCCTAGAGAGGCTTTTCTCTTCTCTATTGGCTGGGAAGGACGAAAAGGAAGAGAAATTGGTGCCCTAAGGGACAGAGAAAGTCAGAAAACTGTTACAGCTTTTTGCATCTCTCCTCACACTGCAGCTTCCTTTGCAACTGACCTCCAGGCCTGGGATGGCAAACGAATGAATTAGCAGACCAGCCCTGCTATTGCATTAAACCCATAAAATCATACCAGTCTGTGTAGCTCCAGAGAAACATCTGACTGCAGAAGGCAAACAGCCTGTCCTGGCCCTGCTGTGTGTGCTGTGGGCTCCCACTCTCCACCTCCGAGCACCTCAGGAGCTCCCTGAGCCTCATCCCATGCCCCTGGGGAGCTCTGCTTGCCTCCCAGCAGCGCTGCTTTGCTGAGAGCACTCTGGAAATGAATTTGTCCCTCATTTCTCAGCCTGGACTTGTCTGGAGCTGCACACAGGTTTCCTGCTCCAGAGGCTTCTGGGCAAAACATCTGTCTGTGCTTTCACGTCACCCCTCGAGGCAACATCACCATTCTGTGCTGCGTTTGCATCTCCAGCTCTTGGCACATATCTGCTCTGCAAATAGCTGCTGCTGCTTCGGGACACTGCTGTGTTAGTGAGCTGTGGCTGTGGGTTCCTCTTCCCAGGGCTCTGCTGAGGGTGACTGCAAACACTGCTTCATCGCCTCCAGGCAGCACGAGTTGGGGCGGTCAGAAGAGCAGAAGGCAGTGATGCTGAGCAGCCCCAGCACGGTGAGAGCTGCAGGTGGCATCCTGAGCCCAGGCCCTGCCAGGAGGCGCACAGCAGACTCGCTCTGCTTGCTCTCTGCATAAACATTCAACTCATCACAACCCACAGAATCACAGAATGGCCCGGGTTGGAGGGGACCTCAAGGACCATAAATCTCCAGCCCCCCTGCCACAGGCAGGGCCACCAACCTCCCCATGTAACCCACTTTAGGAGTGACGCATGCATGCATTACCCGCGGTGCTTCGCTTCAGGATGCGATGTTACTAACATTCAAAAATAATCCTTCCAGGCCCTTTGGCAATTGGCACGGGTTGCCATGCAGCAGAGGCTGTGCCGGGTTGTGCTGTGCAGCCCCACTGCCAGCAGCAGGAAGCAGATCTGCAGCCACACGCTGAGCTGAGTCACTCTGTGCTGGTTTTCCTGATGTTCACTGGACCTGGTGATGCAGGCAGACCTTCCTGCAGGGTGACACACTGATATCCTCCCTGGGGACATGGACAGGCAATGCCATCTTCTAAGCCATCTATAAAAATAGAGTACTTTGTGATCTGTGCTCTGTCCCACCAATCACTGAGCATCTGCAGCCATCTGTGTCTTTCATGGCACTGTGTTTTATTTCTCAGGCGTGGAAACTCAAGCCAAAGTCAACTGGAAACTGTTACGGTTTTGATGAGAAATCAGCCTGCTGCTAACTGTGTTTGCTGGAGTTGAGTGAGTACATGGGTGGTTTAATGGCTGTGAACCTGACAGTGACTGCTGTTATCCAGGGTAATTGTGCTGAGCGATCAGCAGGATGGCAGGGCTGGCTGTCTAACCTCCCAGCTATAGGAACTGGTAGCTGCTTTGATTCAAAGGTAAATTCTGCACTTCCCATCAGCGTGCAAAACCTGGAAGACTGGAAGTAATAAAATTACGGACATCAAAGTCCATATCTGATCCATATCTTATATTCTCTGAAGAGAAAATAAGTTGCATTTTTTCCATAAATATTGAGTACATCTCAAAGAACTAACACAACCTGGTAATTTTTCACATCATGGTACTGATTTTAGAGCATCCTTAAAACTGAAATATGTAAGGACGTATAGAAAGCATCTAGGGACTTGTGATGTAGTGATGGTCAGGCAGCAGCGCTTAGTTAATGTGCTCTCTGCATCCAGACCAGCTGATGGTTACGGCAGCAGCAGTGGCCCCAGATACATTCCCAGCAGCAGAGCTACGTGTGCTCCCCTTCTAACAGCACAGCCCATCGTGTGAGCTGCTGAGTGTGAGCAATAAGCTGCCAGCACAGCACCTCCCCTGCCCCTGCTGTCATTGGTTTTTGTGTGTCTGACAGTCATCTTCCCATGGCTGTGTGTAGGTGTGATGAGCTGTATGCAGGGATGATCCTTACCTGGGGAACGGGACTGCAGCAGTGCTGAGAGGGCTGTTGGCATGGGGATGTGTTGCTGGCTCAGGACAGCACAGGTACACACAGGTGGTGTTCAAAAAGCTTCAAGGGAGAGTGGGGGGCTGTTGATTTTGGGGTCTGCAATCAAAAGTCCTGCCGGTGCAGAGCTGGGAATTCGAGTACAGCACAGGAATCCTTACCCTGACTTTTGAGATGCCCTAAAGCCATCTCAGACACACACAGCAGGGTGAGGTGCTCTGCATGGGGGCGCTGCTCACTGTGCAGGCCATGTCCCTGTGCTCCCCCTGACTCTGCTTGCCAAATGAGACCTCCCTTTATTGGGCTTTGAGCTGGGGAGGGCTGTAGGAACCAAGCGAGCTCTGTGTGCCACAATGCAGGGAAATGCACTGGAATTGTACCTACGTGAGCACCAAGGGGCCACAGATTTTCCACTGTGTGCTTCCTGTTGTTCTTTAACAACACTGTTCCTGGAATTGGGCGACTTCAGCTGTGATGCCAAGCAACAGCCACAGCGAAAACCGTGCTTGCAGGCCTGGGAGGTCAGTGTACTTTTAATATCTCAACTATTTCTGCAGAGTTCAGACAGCAGTTCTCATTTCCAGTTCCTTCGCTCAGCTGGTCGGAGTTGCAGATGTCAGCCCCAGGATGGAGGGCTGTGCTGGCTGCAGGCAAAAGCTGTCTGAAGGGAGAGTCTGGAAAATGGAGCTTGCCACCTGTGAGCTCAGCAGGCCCCACACCAGCAGGCTGCTCCCTGGGGAGGAGGAAGGAAGCTGTTAGCACGGCCGGGCTGCAGGCGGCTCTGTGCTGGGAGCAGCCCTGTGCCGCGCAGGAGCCCACTGCCGCCCGTAGCGTTCCTCTGAGCCTATCTGCTGCTTTGTGTGTGATAAGCAGGTTTCCATGACGTGAATGTTTCTAGATTTTAAGATGTGATTTAATAAAAAGTGACGTTTCTGGGAAAGCAGGTTTTCTCTTTTTTTTCTTTCTTTTTTTTTTTTTTTCTTTCTTTTGTTGTTCTCTGGCTGAGTTGGTAAGCCCAAGAAATGCCACCTGGCAAAAGCGTGTGCTGTGCCAGCAGAGAGGGAGGAACCGGCGCCAGGCACTTCTGAAAGGCAGCAGAGAGAGAAATGCTGAAAAGTAAAGAGCAGAGCCAGGGCGAGCACCGTGCCCTGGGGAGCAGCACGGGGAGAAAAGCAAAAGCTGTCAGTGCTTTCAATGAGGGACACTGAGGGGGAGGCAGATCCTGCGGTGGGGACAGAGTGAAGACATTCAGCACACCTGGGAGGATGGAAGACATCAAGTTCCATCAGCCACTGTCTGTTGGACTTGAAGTGAGCAGCTGCGGTCCCAGCCTCCGGCTGTGAGCTCTCCCTTTATCTGCATTGCTGAAATGTGTGCTCAGGTGTGTTTGCCTTTCGCCAAGTGCCATAACTGCAGCCCCTCTAAGCACACAGAGCTGCGCTCCCGTCCTTCGCTGCCGTCCTTTAGGGCACTGTTGCTCTTTCTGGGATCTTTCAGCAGCTGTGTCTGCATCCTCCCCATTTGGAAACATTGCTGTCCATCTTTCGGCAGTGGCAGAGGATGGAAATCACTTCCACCTCCCCACCACCACCTGTGCCAGAGAGCTGGCCCTGTTCTCCTTCACCAGTCACCGGTGCCCTGAGTAACCTGTTGGCCAGAAATCCTGCCTTTATTCCTTATTCCGGAGCCATTTAATCTCCATACTGCACTGTTTTTAAATCAGTGTCACGGGGTACAAAGCCAAACACATTGCAGAAGCCCAGATGCAAAGGGTTATTTTTATCTCTCACCTTCTTCCCTCTCTCCTCACGCAGGTGACGTGGGGACATGCCCAGGGCCGTGCAGGCGGATTTTCACACTGCCCCATAACAAAGGGCGAGGAGGGGGAAATCACACACATCTGAGTCCTGCTGCTCAGCTCCCTCCCTGCTTTCTCCACACCTGGCTGCACCTGGGCTTGTCCCCATGCATCCTATCAGTGCCAGCTGCTGGGTGTGGGCCTGGCGCTGACGTACCAGACACACTGCGTCCTGCTGCTGCCTGCACAGCCACGCAGCTATGCTGCACAGTGGCACTCTGCCATCACACAGCCCGGGCCCTGTCCCCTGTCAGTGTCACACCTGGGTTTTGTAATCGAGCGTTTGTGCCAGAATCTGAGAGCTGAATGGGATTCCCAGGAGCCTCTTAGTGAGGGTGCTCAGCTGCTGCTCCAGCAGAATCCAGAGGTGTAAATGCAGCGATGGGGATCAGCTCCAGGGCGTTCAATAGTTGGCCAAGTTTCACTTTCCAGTCCCTCATGCTGTTTCAGGCTCGGCCTAGAACAAAGGCAGTTGATGGGAACTATGATAGAAGGCCCCACAATTCTTGCTGGCAGGGGAGGAATTGAATAACGGCTGGGTTTTTTTCCACCAAGGCTGGAGGGCACACAACAAAACCACCAGATGTCAGCTTCAGTCCCCACAAAGGGAGACGTTTCCTTTGTACCAGGTGCAGATCAACCGTGGGATTCATTATTTCGGGATTTGTGGGCTTTACATGGGCTGAAAACCCAACAGACAAGACCATGAAAGAGAAATCCACTGAGATCCACAAGTACAAAGGCACATTGTTGGCTCTGTAAGTGCCTGAGCCATGAGTCACCCCAGGAAACGTCACTGCCTGCTGCCCTGTCCTCAGGCTCAACCCAGGGCACCGCTGTTGGATGCCGTGAGGGCTGCCATGCAGGACGGCACACTGAGAGGCGTGTGCAAACTTTAAACCAGCCTTGTGTTATTAAAGCTTAACTGCTAAGAGCTGCTTCCTTCCGTCGAGCTTGGGCTTGCACACGCAGCCAGGCAGCAGCAGAGGTGGACGTTGGACCCTTTCCAGCACAATGGCAACGTTGGCAATAAAACTCCAGCAGCCGCTCACTTCCAGGTCTGGTTGAATGTGTGCAAATTGCTCCGTTTTGTCTCAGGAGTGCAAAGGTAGAACCTTATCAGCAGGAGGCAACGTTCCTTCCAGTAAGCAGGGCTGTATCTGAGGTGGTGAAGCACCCACGTTGTGCTGGGGTGCGGCTCCGTAACGCCCCAGCAGGCTGGGACTGAACGGTTCTGGGCAAAGGTTGTTCACGTCACCGCGTGCCGTTCCCCTCCGCGCCTCACAGCGGAGGATTTCAGCACACAGTGTTATCTGAGGCATGGAAAGCCCTGAGCTCCCAATTGTTTCCTGATCTCACAGACTTCCCAACGAAACGTGGTGGCAGCTGATAACAGGCTGCCTGGAAGCAGAGCACTGGCCATGCTTTTCTCTGTGCTTTTGAGTGGAGCAGCGATGGCAGAGCAGTGAAAGCAGCACAAGAACTGTTTTCCTGTGCTCCTGTCTGATGTCCTGCAGTGCCCACTTTCCTCGGCTTGGTCCTGCTCCTCACTGCCTTCCCCAGCCATGCCTGCTGCCCACAGCACAGAAACCTCACTGCCTCATTCAGAGCTTTCCTTAAAATGCTTCTTAATGTTGCTCTGATGCCCACCTTGGGTTCCTTTCCCTTGACGCCCACTTACTTTTGCTCTTTCTCAGACCACAGCTGAGCCGACAGTGGGGTGATGCTCACACACACCTCTCATCCCCTTCCTCCTCGGCTGCTCCTTCTTGTGTTCCTCCTAAATGGCCCAGTCTAGGGCCCAAATTATAGGAAAAAAATAACAGATTTGGGTTACTTTTTTTCTTTGGTTGACTTATAGAATCGTGAAGGTTGGAAACGACCATTGAGAGCACCAAGCCCAACTGCAGCCCACTCCCACCATGCCCACCAACCATGTCCCTCAGTGCCACATCTCCACGCTCCTGGAACACCTCCCCCCCTCCCCAGGCAGTCTGTTCTGTTGCATCACCTCTCTTTTGAGAAGGATTTTTTCCTAATACCCAACCTGCACCTCGCATGGTGTAACTGAAGGCCATTGCCTTTCACCCTATTGCTGTTGCATGGGAAAAGAGGTCGGATCTCCACCTGGCTACAGCCTCCTGTCAGGGGGTGCAGAGAGCAACAAGGCTTCCCCTGAGCCTGCCCTCGGTGGGGTAACGTGCTGTGGTTCTGGGCAGGGTGGATGAGCACCAGGACCTGAGAACGTGTGGCCTTTGGAAGCAAAGTTCGGGGCACATGGGACCCATCGTGGTGCATGGAGTCCCGCGTGGTTGTGAACGCCCTGCTGGGACAGTTTGCTTGAGATCAGCCACCAGCGGGATCCACAGGGCTGCGTTTGAGGGCCAGTTCTCTTTAACGTTTACCAATGACACTAAATTGAGAGGAGCCACCGAGTCCCAGCAGGGCAGAGAGAACTCGCGGGCAGTCCTGGACGGACTGGAGGGCCGGGCGGGTCGCCGCTCTCAGCCGTAGGGTTGGGGCGGGCGGTGCCGCCCGCTCCCGCTCTCGGTATTCCATCACTCCGAAGCCGCCCCACAACCGGTCGGCTCCGTCCCTCCCGGCCGCAGGGAGCGCCTTCCGCACCGCCCGGGGCCGCGCTGCCCTCCCGCCCTCGGGGCCGCCCGCCCCGCCCCGCAGGACGGCCCGGGGGCGGCGCTGCGCAGTGCCCGGCTCAGGTGCGGCGGGAGGAGGAGGAGGACGACGGGGAGGACGCGGCGGCCGTGCGCGGCAGCGCCCCGAGAGCCGCCGCCATGAGCAGCGCGGAGCCGCCGCCGCTCGGTGCCGGGCCGCGGGCGCAGCCCGCCTGGAAGAGGGAGATCCTGGAGCGGAAGCGGGCCAAGCTGGCCGGAGCGGCCGCCGGAGAGACGGAGTCCGCGGCGGCGGCGGTTCGGGGCCCGGCGGGGACGGGCGAGCGGCTGGTGGTGGCCGAGAGCTTGGGCCCGCTCCGAGAGAACCCCTTCATGCGGCTGGAGAGCGAGCGGCGGCGGCTGCGGCGGGGGCTGCCCGGGCACGGCCCCGAGGCGGCGCGGCCGCTGCAGCAGCTGCTGGAGCTGTACAGCGCCGTGCCGGGCATCCGCACCATCCGCGCCGACAACATCCTCATCATCGAGTCGCAGCCCGACGCCGCCGCCTGCTTCGCCGACGGGGAAGCGCCGTCCGGGCGCCGCCGCGATCCCCCCGCCGCGTCCCCTCCGCGCCGTCCCGACCCGCTGCGGGAGCTGCTGGCCCGCCGGGGAGCGGCCGTCGCCGAGATCCGCGCCGACCAGGTCCTCATCTACGAGGCGGCCGAAGCGCAGGAGCCTCTCGAGGCCGCCGAGCCGGGCACCGTCAGCCGCCTCCTGGAGAAGTTCGGCCAGCGACCGCGGGGCCGCCGTCGCCGGGGCGGGGAAGCGCCGGCCGGGGCCGCTCCCCCTCCGGCGGCTCCGGGCTCCCCGCGCTCCTCGGCTCCCCCCAAAGCGGCGCCGACCTCCCCCCGCCCCTCGGTCCCGAAGGCCGCCCCGACCTCCCCCCGCGCCGCTTCTCCCCGCGCTGCGGCCCCCCGACCGCTGCCGCCCCCCCTCCCCCGGCCGGCTGCCCCCCAGCCCGCGGGTACCCAGGCGGTCCCGGTGTCCCCCAGGGCTGCGACCCCACCGGCAGTCCCCATCTCTCCCCCCGCCCCCATGGCTGCGCCCAAAGCCGCAGTTCCCCAGGCCAACTGCTTCCTCCACAAGATCGGCTCCAACTCCTTCACTGTGGCCCCCCGGGGCCTGCCCCCCCCCAGCCGCGTCCCCCAGTCTCCCCCCAGCCGCGTCCCCCAGTCTCCCCCCAGCCACGTCCCCCAGTCTCCCCCCAGCCGTGTCCCCCAGTCTCCCCCCAGCCGCGTCCCCCAGCCCACCACCCGGAGCGTGCCGCCCAAAGGGCCGCCAGTGCCATCCACCAGCGCTGCCAATGCCAGGAGGCCAAAGCCGGAGGAGGTTGAAGTGGCTGCATCACCCCCGCCCAGTGCCAGTCTGGCCCCCGGTGCCACCCAGCCTCTCTCTGCGTTTGCCCCTCGGGCCGGGGGCTCCTTTGAGATCCACCCGGCCCCCAGGCCTGACCTGGCTGCCATCCCTGCTCACGACCTGCAGGCGCAGGCCTTGGCCAAGCTGCGCCTGAATTCACGCAACTCCTTCCTCTTTGTGCCCCGCCGGGAGGGTGGCACAGCTCTGCCTGCTGCCCAGAGCCATGCAACGGGACCATCACCACCACCATCCCCGCAGCAGAAAGTACAGAAGGAGCCCCCACGGGTTTCCGCTCCGGAGCAGGAAGAGCCGATCGCTTCCCCGCCGGCGCCTCTGGATCCGTCGGTACCTGTGACTTACATTGATGACATTGTGGAGCCGGACAGCGGGGAGCTCTCCCCGAGGGCTGTGAGGACAGAGAACTTGGATCAGCCCAGAGGAAGCGGCCCCGAGCTGGAGATGGAGATTTCCTCTGTGCCCCTCTACAGACCACACTCCCCCGGGCTCCATCAGACGGGAGGTAACACCTTCACTGTGGTGCCCAAAAGGAAGCCCGGTGCCTCGGGGCCGCAGGGTCTTACTGAGGCTGGTGGGAGGCCTCAGCAGGAGGAAGAGGAGGAGGATGAGGAAAGCAAAGGAAGAAGCAAAGCTGTAGAGAACGCTGATGGGCCCCAGGTGGGGACATCCCATAAAAAGCGCTACCCCACGGTGAACGAGATCGAAGTGATCGGCGGGTATCTGTCCCTGGAGAGGTCCTGCATGAGCAAGACGGGCTCCCGCCGCAAGAAGGTAATGGCCTGGGGCACTGCTCTGAGCAGGGAGGCCCGAAGCAGCTCCTCACTGCCCTTGGTGTGGCTTCTTGCAGATGTTCTGCTGGGCAGGGAGGTGGGCAGCTTGGGGTGGTGTGCGCTCCGTGGTAACCACAGGGCCTCTCCTGCAATCTCTTCTTGGAGATACAGTGACAGAAAGTGAACTGACTGGGGGATGTAGGATTGGAGGAGAGCTGTGCGAGTGGAATGGCTGTGGCTGTCCCTCAGCCCTCGCTGTGCTGTGTGCACTGAGCTCCCAAGGATTGCTGGAGTAGCAGAGCACAGTGCCCTCCTTGGATTAGGGATCTATTGATAGAGGCTCAGGAATTAGGTCTCTATTAGGCAGAAAGAGATGAGCGCCAGTTTAACTCCTCCTGATGGGATTATGCCACCTGCCTGCTCTGTGGGACAGCAGCTGCCTCTCAGCTCTCAGACATGCAGGGTTCACCCATTGATTGGAGTTTCCTAAACTAAGAGTTCACACAGCTTCACAAAACACGTTGGGATGTGATGGAGGCACAGCATGCTGGCAGAGCTGATGTGCTGAGATGTAGGCGTGAATTGTTCTGCTTACCATAATGACAGGCAGCACAGGCACTGTGTCACTACAGACCCTGATTTCTGGGTTTGTGACATGTTTTTCCATAGCAGGCAGAGCTGTTTGACATTCCGTTACCTGAATTCCACGAGGGTTTGATGGACTGAATCCACACAGGTGCCTGAGGCACTGAGCAGCACAATGCGAGGGAATCCTTTGAATGGGATTCATCTCATTTGGGAGAGAGGCGGCGAGTGCTGTTCCTCTTGGCTTAATGTTCTTAAGTTCCTTCATAGGAGCTATCAGCAGGTATTAATTAAGGCAGGTGGCAGATCTGAAGCATGAGAGCTGTGCAGCAGAACAGGAAATCTGCTCAGGTGTTGCCATCCTTTAAGCAGTACAAAAAGGAGGAAGAGAGGTGAGGACAAAGCTAGTGCAGCGTGTTGTTGGAGGTGGACAACACTGCAGAAGGACACACAGGAGCCCTGGCACCTCCATCCCTGGGGCTGTTTGAATGCATGCTCTGATCCACTTGGACCTGCTCCAGGCAGGACTTTGGGAGAGAGACATCCAGAGCTCTTTCCCAGCCTGAGGTACTGTGTGTGGCTCTTTCGCAGCTGTTGTGTCTGCAGAGTGTTGGCTTTGCGTGATGTTGGAGCCGTGGCAGTGGCTGTCTGCTCGGCAGGCGTCTGGGAGATGAAGGGCAGTGATGCTGCAGGGTTTGTGCACATCAGCAGTGGAGCTTGCTAAGGGTTGTGGGGGTGTTCTGTGTGGGAGCTTGCAGAGATCTCACTTCTGAGAGAGAGGTTAAAGGCGAAGGAATGATGAACTGTCGCAGTGCAGAGGCTGAAATAAATGCAAAAACCCTTTAGGAAAGGAGGCCCAGGCTTTGGAGAGCCTTGAGTTCCTGGGTGAGATGCAGCCTTGCTGTGGCTGCGCGTGGGTTTTGTGCCCGCTCCTTTCCCTGCACAGAGCATGGTGTGACTGCAGCCAGGATCTGGGGGATGCTGTACCAAGTGGAAAGAGTTCTGTTTACTCTTAACCTAGAGGATGTTTGTGGCTTTTACTCTGGATAATGAGGCTGAGTGTTGATGCCTGAAAAGGAAGGAGTTTGCATGAGAACGCATTCCTTGGTCTCTTCCCAAGAGATTGCTGTGTGTCGTCAAGGCAACCGGCCAAAAACAAGAGTTGTGTTTTGTAGATATGTTAGGCTTTTCAGAAACTTGGTTTTGGTCTGAGCTGGGCAGGAGCAAACATTTCTGTGTGCTCGCATTGGGCTGCTGAGCCACCCATCCCTGCAGGCTGGCCCCAGCCCATCCTGGTGGCTCTGGGTGCCAAGCCCTGCTTGCGGCCTCTCTGTGCTCTGGGTGCTGCTGCTGCTGCTGCTGCTCAGGGCCCTTTGGAAATCAGCTTTATTGCTTCTTTCAGATGCCTCAAGTGTGCAAAGCGACTCTTTGTTTTGGGGCTGGGGCTGTCTACTCCAACTGGACAGTGAGCTGGTGGTGGGAGGAGAAGTGCGAGGGGGATGGAAGAGCTGCCCCAGCTCTTTAGTAGAGGCAGCTTGAGCGGCTGAGGTGGGACAGGCGTTCACTGAGCTGTGATGGTGAACGTGGGGTTGTGTGGGACCAAGGGGGGTAGAGACCTCACTGCGCTCTCAGTGGGGAGTGGGCTGCCTGTATGGGCAGGAGGCTGAATGCTCATCTTCCTGCACGTCTGTCCCAGGGCCATGAGGATCTGTCCCTCTGCTCTGTGGCCATTCCAAGAGACCTCTCTACGTGGCTCTGGGCAGCCTGGTCTGGCGGCTGGTGATCCTGTGCATGGCAGGGGGTTGAAACTAGATGATCGTTGTGGTCCTTTCCAACCCAGGACATTCTGTGATTCTATGGTATCACCTTCAGTGCAGGTGCAGCAGTGCGGTGGCTGCGGGAGAGGCTGGCTGAGCTGTCAGCTCGGGCAGTGAGGACAGGATACGTGCACAGGGATGGGAGGAGACCTACTGACCCTTGTTCTAAATGAGGCACCGGGGAGAGGATGCAGAGCGTGGCTGTGACCTCTGTTCAGTGCTCATCTTCATCCTCCCTCATGGCAGCGGAAGGGAGGAGACGTCGGTCTGCCAGCAGCCCCAGGTGCAGCCTTGCTGCAGGGTGTGGATCTTTTGGATCTCTGAGGATAAAATTTGGCTTGGGTGAGTTGACAGGAAGCAATCCTTGGTTACGTGCCAAAATAACGTACCTGGGGTTGTCAGCATGGTAGGAATCTGAGTTTCTGTGCAATGAGGCTTGTTGGAGTGAGTGCTGGAGGAGGACTGCCAGCTGCTGGGCCTGGTGGGGAGCCCACAAGTCTGTCTGGCTTCAGGCTTTGTGCTTTAAGCATGATGGAGTTTGGGCTTGCCCATGAAGTCCTGCACACACAGAAGATGCTCGGGCTGTGCTCATCCCTTATGTCTCATCAGGTTCATCCCCAGACCCAGTTTTTGCCCTTTTGGGGATGCTTTAGGAAAGGTGACCTCTAAGCCAGGCATCCGAGCCCTGTGGGTTTCAGGGTGTGAGAGCCAGCAGGCACCACGTTATTACTGGAAGGTGAGCAGCAGCTTTGTGCAAACAGGGCTTACAAGAGCAAGATGAGTGGGATCCACATAGTTGGAACCAAACGCTCTGCAAAATTGCCTCAAATACTGTAGTTTAGCCAAATTTTCAATGTTTTGAGCAGCTTCAAGCTTGAATGTGGCATGCAGGTACCCACGTGAATGTCTGTTGGACGGTTACTGCAGACATCCCTCAGCCTTTCAGCATGGGCAGCGTTGGGCAGCAGTTCTGTTGGTCTGACCTGCTGAGCTCCTCGCTCCGCAGCTTTCCATCTGCTCACTTCTGGAGGTGGTTGGTGAGAACCAGCTGTGGGCTCAGGATGCTGGCAGGGGTGAGCACCTCCAGTGGTTGCCCAGAGCTGTTTGCAGCAAGCCTGTGCCATGTGGGATTGAATTGGTGGCAGCTGCTGGCAGTGCTGCTTGCAAGGTATGGCACAAATAGGTTTGCCGGGTAGTGAAAGCAGGAATTTGTCTGCAGAAATCTGATGGAGATTCCTTCCCCCCTGTATTTTGGAAGGCTCAAGTCAAAGATTGGTTTTATTGACCTTTTTGAGAGCCTGTGCCTTGCCATTTTCTGTTTCTCGCACCTGTGCTGTGCTGTGCTGTGCTGTGCTGGTGGCACTGCATTTGCCACCTTTAAGGAGGGGCTGTTGGATGTGTCTGACTGGAATGTGTTGAATTTTTGGTAGGTGAGGTCAGCAGTGGTGAGTTCTGCTCAGAAAGTTTCTGCATGTCTGAGCTCAGCCTGGGGCCCTCCCCAGCAGAGATGCTCTGCAGCAGCTCTGGGTGCCCCTTTCTAACCGCTGATGTTGGGCTGTACAGTGGGTGGCTGCAGACAGCAGTGCGTAGAGCCTAAAGCTCTGGGCAGGCTGGACCTGAGCGCATTGATGTGGGTGTTGTTTCTCTGTTTACTTGCTGCCTGCCAGCACCTTCAAAAGTTGCTTCTGTCATACCAGCCCAGTACCAATGGAGCAGATGAGTCATGTTCATCTCCTCAGCAGTGGGAGGGCTGTTGCAATCTGGGGTTCTCCACAGCCTCACCCTGTGCTGAGCTGCTCCTGCGGTCCTGCACTTTGCTTCCACCCATCGTGTGTGTGCAAATGAGGCAGAAGAACTATGATAAAAGCTCTTAAGCAAGTCAGAAGCTGGTGGGATGTGCCCAGGGCTCAGTCCAGCCCCGCAGTGTGAGAGATCTGGAGTGCTTTGTGCTCTGGATGGCTGTGCAGGAAGTCACACTGAAGGGTCTGTGCTGCCGGGAAACTCTGTAAGCACCCTGGGAAGATCTGGTGCTGTTAGTGAAGGCGCCAGGCCCTGGCACTGATTGCACCGAGGTTTTGCCTGCTCTCTTTGTGCATTCAGCTGCATCCCATGCAGGGGGAGCTGTCTGACCCTTACAGGCTGAGTAATGCATGGATTCCTTGTTGAGCCGTGGAAGGCTGTGGCTCTGCATGCAGATGTGCAGAGGGCTCCTGTGGTGAATCGCTGCTTTGTGCCGCACCGCTTGTGGCCGGTTGGGCACTGGGACCTCTGCTGGGATGACATGGTGAAAGGAAGAGTTTAAAAAAGAGCTATGTGCCCTGCGATGCTCTGGGGATGTCCCTGCCCTATTCTTTCTCAGCAGGAATTTGAAACTTCCCCATGTCTTGTGTGAGGAGTTTAATATTTCGAATCTCCATGCGTTGCTCCTGTCTACCATGTGCTTCAGCATATTGATTTCACAGGGCTGCCTTTGTGGGTTGCCTTGTAAATGGAGACTTTCTTGCTTTGCCTGGTGGTTGGGAGCTGGGATGCGGTCCTGGAGGTGATCTCCCCTTTGCCAGCAGTGCTGATGTGCTTTGCTGTAAACCCTCAGTGTTTCTGGCTCTGGTCAGTAACTGAGTTCTGCAGTTGATCATTGAGTAAAACCGAGTGTTGCTGTTGGAAAACACATCTCAGAAAAGAATGATCAAGTGAATTGAAAGTGGAACAGCTGTACAGAGTGACAGAAAAATGCTGTGTGTCATTTCTGAGCACAGCTGGGGGGCTGCAGCCAGAGCAGTATGGGGTTAATCTGATAGAGGAGCCACGTCTTGTCTGCTCCATCCCTAGGGAATTCCAAGGAAAAACCCTTCCTTCTTGTTCCAAGGAAAGGCTTTAGATGTACGGATGCTTCTTATCTTCTGTAGAATGACAGCCACTGCCTTGTTACTGTGTTGAGGCTACTGCAGAGCTTGTAGCCATGCCTGGGGTTATTCACCAGCTGGGCTGTCACACGGTTGTGCTTCAGGACAAGTACAGGCACACTGATAAGCTCATTGCTAACTCCTCTGGAATGGGTGACCTTCCCAAAGAGCCTTTATCTCTGAGTTTCAGAGAGGAAGCTTGCATGAAATTGTATAGATCATTGACTGCAGGGCTGGGTGAGAAACTGCAGTTCCTTTGGAAGCGTGCAGCTTTGGAATGCCACCGCCTGCTAAGCTTGTGAGCATGGTCAGGCTGAGTCACGTGGACTCTTGTCTCCTTTAAAATGTATGCTTCTGCCCTCCGTGCCTTCTGTTTGTCCAGAACAGCTTGGAGGCTGTTCTGCATTACAGCCACCCAGCGTGCCCAGAGTTTGGTGCTTGCTCAGCTGCCCCTGCTATCCCTATGGGTCTCCAAGGGATGCTGTGCAGCAGCAGCTTCCCAGGGCCCTCAGCTGGCTGTGCTGCAGGTCTCTGATGTGATGTCTTAGGGTGTTGGCTCACGTCTTTGTGTCATTGACCAAATCTCCTTAAGTACCACTGTAGTGAAAAAGATGTAGCAAAGCTCACTGTAAGACTGTATGGAAGCACGAGTTGATTTTCTTTCAGAACACTGATTTAATCACGCTTGATTGAGGTTTCAGCCCAGTGCTCCCTGCAGGTATCAGCCCAAGCCCTCTTGCTGCTGCTGAGAAAGGAGGAGGCATTTAGCTGACCAGGCGTGTAAAGCTGCTGAACCAGCTGCTGGAAATCACACCCAGCAGTGTGCTGGCAGCCCACGCGTGCCCTGGGGATGTAGGAGACAGTGCAGTCCTTCATTTTGTCAGTTCAGGATTACATTGCTTGGGGAGGAGAATGGTTAGAGGGAATTAGTACCTGAGAGGAGCAGCTCTGCTCCTTTGGGTCTGCCATGCCTGCCAAGCATGGTGCTAACAGGTGGAGAGAAGCCACAACGTGGAGATTGATCTGCATCCTCAGCTCTGGTTTGCTCTGATATCCACGTGCTGGGAGCTGCCATCAGTGCTGTGCTCTGTCCTTCACCGCAGAGACTTTCAGGCTTCTCACCCTGACTTTGGGAGGTGAGGCATCTGCCAGCCTTCCTTGTTTGTGTGGCAGGTGGCTGTGAATTGGTGATGTTGTTTCTTGTCTGTGTACATGGTGGGTACAGGTTGGTCCTGACAGCATCTCTCAAAACAAAACAGGCTTCTCTTTTTCCTTTTTGTGTTCCTAAGCCATGTACAGCTACCAGCATTAGGCTTGCTGGGCAATGTTTACCCTCGCTTCTCTTTCCTGAGTAGTGTATTACTCATTACTGCTCAAATCCTAGCAAATAAATAAATGATTTTTGCTATGGCAACAAGAAGCCAGTTTCTCAACAGCACAGTGTTCCCCCCAAAAACAGCTTTATTACTCCCAGCTCATTGCTGGGAGTGTTCCTGTGTAGGTGCACGGCTGGGGTTGGACTCTGGTTATGTGACACAGCTCTACATAAAGCATTCCACTGAGCAAATACTGCTAAATCCCTGCAAACACTCCCGGCTGAAGGCTGCAGTTTTCCTCCCTTGAACAAGACTGGCTCTTGGGACGTGTTTTTCTCCTAAAGAAGTAACCCCAGCACCTTTGTGTTCCTGCAAAGCCAGGGCTGCCGTTGCCGAATTTCCAAGTAGTTATTTCCAGCTGCTTCCCAATCTCACAATAAGCAGCTCCTCTGCTGTTTGCTTTGCCAGGGTACGTCCTTGAGAGCTCTGTGGCAGCAGGCTGTAGGGGGGCAGTGTGCTGTGTAGGGGGGGTTTCCACATGGACTGGCTGCTGTGGTGTGGGGCTGGCACTGCTGCAGGTGAACAGCTGAAGCATCGCCTCCTAGAGCATGGCAGGACCTGGCATTGGCTGCGGGCAAACGGGAGCTGCTTGGATTCAGGCGCTCTGTCTCTGGGCGCTGTTTGTGCTGCTCCTGCTGGGGCTCTGCTGCAGGATGGGGCTGCTTTCTGCCTTCGCCCCATGCACAGCTTTAGTTCTGATGGGCCTCAAATCTGTATTTCTTACAGCCTTCCTTCTGTTAGCAGAAAATGAGGAAAACTGAGCTCTGTCTCCCAAGCTCGGATGGCTCAGCAGCTCCATCCTGCAGCGCCCAGCCTGGCAGCGCCGCTTGGCCTCACACAGAGACACATTGTGAGCCATCACTGCTGCCTCGGGCCAGGGAGCATGTAGGTCAGCAGCAGGGCAAAGCTTGGGGAGCAGCACTCGGGTGCTCCAGCACAGGAATGTCTCACTGCAGCCCCCATCTCTGAGATGGGATCACCCCCGTGCTGCTGGAAGGCTGCTGAGGGCCACATGTTGCTCCTCAGCCCGGGGTGCGCTTTTGTATGTGAAGGGAAGTGTGGCACATGGGGCAGATGTACTGCATCTCCTTCCTACTGCTGACTGCACAGGATGAAGAGAGACCTACAGAATTAAGCAGGACGGATCCTGCCCCTTAATTCTGTTCGTAACCCTATTAGCTCAGTTTTAAATGCAGTTAGGAGTAAGGGGATCAAAACACCCTTTTAGGCAGCTGGTCCTGAACCCTGATCCGCATTGGCTAGATACTCCCCTATTTTTGGCTTAAACGTATTCCTGGCAGGCTTATCCTCCTTGTTTGTCTGTGTTGTGTGCTGGCATCAGCAGTTCTTCTCTGCTCCTTGGTGTTTATTTTCTTGGTGTACTTACAAAGAGCTTAAACACTTTTCCTCGACCTCTGTTTTTGTTAGTGTCAGCAGGCTGAATTTCAGCTCCACCTGCCCAAGAAAGGTGAATTGATTGTAACCAGATCTTCAAAGCTGTAGGTAATGATTAGGGCAGCTCTGAACCTGGAAGACTACATCTGGAGTCACTGTGTCAGAGTTTGGCCTTTCTGCTCTGGGAAATTTGTGCCTTCTGCTTTTATTCACATGTGATGAAGTTTTCACCGTTGCTGAAGTCGTAAGGAGGCTCTTAGATCAAGGGTTGGTCTAAAAACACCCACCCATGTGTAGGGTGCTTGCTGTCTGACTTTCTAAACAACCCATACTGTTGTTCTGTTGTTTCCCTTGACCGTGTTGCAAGTTGGAGTCATCTTCGTTTGTCAGCCTCTCAGTTATCATGCGAAGGTCATTAGTGAGAGTACTTAATAAGACTGGTTTTGAAACAGAACCTTAAGGAGCTCCCACTTATCTGGCATTTTTGCTCTTTGATATGGCCTGTTACCATCTTTCCCTTAGCTGCTTCTGTCTTCTGATTTCTGATATTGATCTGTTCTTTGCCTAGTGAACAGTTTCTTACGATGATGTCCTCTCCAAAATGTCCTGACCGCTGGTGTTTCTAGCATGCAGGAACTCAAAGGAGTGGGCAGGTGCTAAGAGGTGTCACCTTTTCAACATGAGAATGTTTTCCTTTCCTCCTTGGCAGTCCCACTTCCTCCTAGGGATGTGCAGCAGAGCCCTGCCGGCATCGCAGTGTGAGGTGGCGGCAAGAAGCCAAAGTACTCTGCACCTCTGGGGCTCCTGACTGTCCCGTCCGTTTGGCTGTCCGCCTCTGTGCTTCCTCTCAGCACAGCGAGAGATTCAGCAGGGCATGTGGGGAAAGGCATGGGAGGGCACAGTGCCTTCCTTACAGGATGGTGGAGCTTTGGGGTGGAGGTGCTCTGCCAGTGCAAACGTTGGGAGCGATGGTTTCTCAGGCTGCTTTCTAACAGTTCTCCTTGGCTGTTGTCTAGATGAAGATCTCTTTCAATGAGACGAGTTTGCAGACCATGTTTGAGTATCCATCCGAGAACTCACTGGTGGAAGAGGAGGAGGAGGAAGGACACACTTCTGAAACAGAGGAGGACAAATCTCACACCTTTCACATTCCACGCCCGAACAGCACTTTGCATCCCAATGCAGCTAACGCAGGTGGGTGAGGCACAGCTACTGCAGGGCTTCTGGTGGTGTCTGTCCCTGTCTGTGTTGCCTCCAGCCGTAATGTGCCCCAGACAGCTGGAAATGTTAGCAGAGGTCATATGACAGCAGAATTGGTTTCAGTGGGGACAGAGTTTGAAATCAGATCAGGGAATTCCCAGACCTCTCTTGCATGAGATGCAGTGAACCTTAAAAATGTAAAACTTAAAAATACCCTTTATGCTGAGAGGGTTGGTGCTGCTGCAGTGTCTGCTAGCAGCTCTGGGCAAGGGAACTGACAGCCACTGGAGAGCATGGCACAGGCTTGTAACTGCAGCAGGAACAGGGTCCTTGCCCGTCCTGCAGATGGGCAGCTTCCATCCCGTTCCTGCCAGAGTCATGACCCCTCTTCCTTTTGGGGTGGTGTGAGTGGCATTCACGTCAGCTTTGTCCTTGCAGCAGATCTATCCAGCTACACCCCAAAGCACTCTGTGAAGTTCAGCAAGTGGCAAGAGCAGAAGTATGAGGAGATGCCTGCTAAGGGACCCCTCCTGAAGGAAGCTGATTCCCATGGGAACCAAGTTATGGTGAGGCTTCAGAGTGGTTTCTGCCTTTGTTCTGGGGTGCTCTCCCTCTGGGCAGTGGGAGGGACAGGATCTGCCTTCTCCAGAGCACGTCTGAGAGCTGTGGCACACCTCCCCGGGCAGTGGGAAGACATTAATGCAAGCTGCCACTGCCACCAGCTGCCCTACCTCCTGTGTGTGTGTGTGAAAGGCAGTGGTAAGGCAGCTGGCACGCTTTGTGCTGCAGGGCACTTCTGGAGGGGAATTAACGTACTCACCAGCCCAAGGCAAGGTGCCACCGCAGCCCTCGCCGCCAGAGGCATGTGTCCTCGTTTGCTTTCGATTTGGTGACGATTCCATTTCAACTGTGCTTTCTCCACAGCTCACCCCAGCTGAGAAGGGCGGACTCTCTGACTTCAGCAGCGAGCCTGCGCTGTACTTCTGATTGCTCCATCTGTGAGCCTGCAGCAGCAGCTGCTGGGCAGAGCCTGGCAGTGCACCGTGGAAACCAACACCTGGGTCCCTCCCTCATCGCAGTCTTCACAGCGTCCTGATGCCAAGGGTGGACTTGATGCCATTGGGCGTCTTTGGAGAATATTTGCACTGGGTTCTGGGTCCTACACAACTGGTTTTTTAATGCGTATGATTTATTCTCCTTGTGGCCTTGCATATTCCTTGTTCAAGATCAGCTGTCCATTAGGCAGGTATCTTAAAGCAGTGTGTAATCCCAGGATGGATGTAGATTCTCTCAGTGCTTATGACTGTGCTCATCCAAGTGCTGAATGAGGCCTGGACAGCATTTTTGTAACACTTCTCTCATGAGAGGCCCCAGTGAAGAAAGCTGTGGCAGGTGGCTGGACTCACTGCACTGGTTCTGACAGCCAGGTTACAGGGGCTGGAAGAACTGCTAAAGGTTCATGGGTTGTTCTCAGTGTGTTTTTGGGTCTAGTTTCACCAAACTGTCATGGAATTTATGTGCCAGTTAAGCACTTGTGAAGGAAGCTGAATGCACTGTGTGGGTGATGGGGAGGGGAATAAATGCCTTCAGCATTAGGTGTCACTTTTGCACTGGCAGCAGGAAGCACCCGGTCCAGCTTGAGCCTTGTGAAGGTTCCCAAACATTGGCCATAGCTTTGATCTCTCTGTAACTGCATCTGCTCTCCAGTCTCTACTGCTAATTGTGCTTGTTTGCCAGTTGCTCTTGTTTTGTTTTGGTATCTAATGGGGCCAGGCCTTAGATTTGTGTCTTAGGTGGTGGGGAGACTTGCTTCTTGCCTTGCTCACTCTATTTCTCTATGCAAAGCACACGAGGGCCATTTCACTCCTTCCTTCTACAGAACTTGAACAAGGAATATGATTTTTTTTTTTTCTAGTATTTTTATAGTTCTGTTGTAATTGTTTGATGCAGCCAATATGCAAAGGAATCTGCTAGACTCTTCCATTTAAATTTTCTACAACTGTACACTCAGGGTCAAAATTACACTCTGGAAAAGACTGAACACTGCTGCTAATGTGATTTGTATTTCTGGGATTAAAAGAGATGCAGTTGGAATAGACACAGCCTCTTTGGGCTTTATGAAAAGGGCAGTGCCCCACGCGTGGCTCCATCTGAAGGACCAGGCTGCCATCTTTTGGTGATGTTTGGCTTTTGTTGGTTTGTGTGTTATATACAGACAATGTCTAGCCGAGCTGACACTGATCTACGATCTGAAAATGTTCTTTATACTTTTTAACATCTTGTACTGTGGAAAGCTCGGGCCGTGAGCTTAGGGCAGCCCCAGCTCCTGAGCTGCAGAGTAACAAATGGGCAAGGGGTGAAGCCAGAGCTGCCTGTCCTGGCTTCGTTCTGCTGTGGGTCAATGAGGGATGCTGAATATCCTGCAGCCTGCTCTGCTGCCTTCAGCCAACTGAAGTGCTGCTGTGGGTGCTGATCCCAGTGCAGGAGTTCTGTGCCCACCCCTTCCCTCGTGGACAGGCCCGTGGTGCTCTGCTGGGAGGGGGTGACATTCAGCAGTTCTCTAATAGCAAAATGCTTCTGCAAGGAAAATATACTCCTGCAACACACTTTTATTAACGGTGGCATCCTTGTACCACAACAGCAGCTGCCCCCAACCAAGGGGCCTGGCCAGGCTGGAGAACAGCTTTAGGAATGCTTTTGTCCACGTGTTTGTTTTGAAGTGCTTGCAGACTCACTGGCTTTGCTAGCATTCCCAATTTCTCCCTTCAGGGCATCTAGCAATGTCTGAGAACTCTCCAGAATCTGAGAAAGAAGGAAATAAAAACAGCTTATGTATTTTTTTTTTGTATCAACTCAACAGTTCTCTCTGAGTTCAGCTGATGTAAGGAGGGATCCTCCACCCCTGAGAGCAATACAAAGCTGAGAATTTAGGTGTTCTGTCTCACTGCAGGGATGGCTGTGCAGGAATTTCTCTTGTTACACCCATATTCTGAATTAAAAAATCCTCAAGCCATTTATCTGTCTTGAACACAAAGCAGAGACCTTCCTGCAGCAGGTTGGGGATTGAAGTTTACTTTTTGGAGCAGTATTAAAATTGCAGGCAGCAGACCCAATGTTTTCCACTACTAAACCTGCACACTTCAAGTTTCTTACTTCGATAGGTAACCCCAAAATGACCTTAAATGAGACTAAATCTTGCTCCTTTAATTCATTTTCTTCTGTTTTTAGCACGTATTTTATATAATCTAACACTCCCACCTGTTGTGCCCTAGGAGACCAGGTAACACCAGGCTTAGATCTCGCTGTGTGCAGCTCACCTCTTTACAGTGGACAGCTGTAACAGAATGTGGCTGCTGCAGTGCCAGCGATCGTCTGTACTCATTCCTATGGCCTTACAGGAGTGTGAAATGGTCAGAGGTGAAGAGCCCTGCAGGAGCAGAGGGGCAGGACGTGTGGGATCTTGCTGCCTTGTCCCCGTGGCACAACATGGTGGATGGGTTAGGGTGAGTCCCGAGACTCCCATGGGCCAGAGAAGGGCAAGGGGCACAATGGTACACAGGAGACCTGAATGCACAGGAAAGGGACTCTGCTCCTCCTTTCTGCCTGCAGGATGACTGTGTTTCCTCTCCTCACCCCTCAGCTTTTTACCTGCTGTGTCTTTGTCTCCTAATGTCAATAAACACGGATTTGTTTGTAGGATAGGGAGTTGTGGTTTGTATCTCAGGGAAGGTTTCTTTTCGAACCTGTGCTGTTTGTGGTGTAACTTTACAACACCACTTCTAAGCTGTTCCATTCTCGTACAAGTTCTCCCCAAACCTTTGGGCCTTGAAGCACTTCCTTACACCACCTTCCCTTCCATACAGCATTCAGAAATGCCCTGCATGTCTTCTGAGACTCTGTGCTCCCTGAAAAGCTCTTTGGAAACACCACTTCTGCGTCGTGGTGGGCTTGACATCCCCGTGGGTGTCATCACAGCACTGCGAGGAGCTTGGTGGTGAGCAGTGCTCTGCTGGGAGCCCTCATCTGTGTGCTGGCTGAGCGAGGCAGCAGGGCTGTGCCCTTGTGTGCTGTGTTGGGGTGTGTGTGATGGAAGCCTTGACTCTTCACAGTGTCTTCAGCAGCTAATGTGGGAGATGCAGAGGGCTGACCAGGATCATCAGGCATTAGAGAGACTGGGGTAAAATAATGGTGGCTGAACCAACTTCTCTTTTAGTGTTGGCTGGTGAATATTCCACTAATGAGTGAATTGTGGCTGCTGGTCACATCCCTACTTCCCATGTTTAGCTCTGGGCTGGGTGGGTGAGGAAGATGCCATGCTTACAAACACACATGGGAGAAAGGAAAATGTAGGCAACTACCTGGAAAAAAACTTTTATTTCTTAAAGAAGAGCTGACTGGGGCTTGAATTAAGAAGTGAACTGAGCTGTTACCCTGTATGCAATCATAGAATCATTTGAGTTGGAAAGGACCCTTAAAGGCCATCAGGTCCCACTCCCTGCAGTGCACAGGGACACCCACAGCTCCAGCAGTGCTCAGAGCCCCAACAGCCTGACCTCGGCTGTCTGCAGGGATGGGGCACCACCAGCTCTCTGTGCAACCTGTGCAGTGCCTCACTGCTCTGAGTGGAAAAAGCTTCCTCTTATATCCAGTCCAAATCTCCCTCTTGCAGTTGGAAACCATTTCCCCTTGTGCTATCACAACAAAACCTGCTAAAGTCTGTCCCCTTCTGTAATATAAGACATTACTGCAATCCCATCTTGTTCGGAAACATTTTCTAGCTATCCAAAGCTTTTTCATCTAGAGGAGTTTGCATCTTCGGGACAGAAGGCCTTTGGAAGATATTCCCATCCCCAGTGAGAGGCTGTCAGCAGGGACGAGGCACCGCCTTTCTGTGCAACCCTCGCAGCGCCCCCCGCCCTCTCTACACAAACTCACTACACGAACTTCTTCCTTCTCCCCAACTCCACCTCCCGTCCGCAGCTGGCAGCGCCGATCCCTGCCGGCCGTACCTTGCCGTATGCCGCCTCGCTCTCAGCGATGCTGGCGTCCAGCTGGCAGCGCGCACTCAGATGCCGGGCCGTGCGCTCGGAGCTCCGTGCCAGGCGCTCCGTGAGCGCCGCGATGCGGCTCTGCAACCGTCCTCGCTCCGCCTCCTCCTCCCGGATCCGTTCGCTCAGCTCATCCCGCCGGGCGCGGAGCTCCGCCAGCGCTGCTCGGGACGACCGTGCGTGTGATCACCGAGCTCACCAACCCCCGTCGCCCCCCTCCGGCCCCGCTCACCCACCCTCCAGCAGCTCGCCGTTGTACCCTCGCAGCGCTTCCCCCTCTCCGCTCATCGCGCGGCCCCAACGGCGGCGCGGCGCTCCGCCCCTTCCTGCGGGACATGGAGGCGGCGGGCGCGGGGCTGTCCGCGGCGTGGAGCTCCGTCAGCGCCGCTTTGGTGCCGCCCGCCGCGCTGGGGCTGGTGAGCGGGGAGCGGAGCCGCGCGGGGCCGCGGGGGGACGGGAAGGACGGGGCTGTGCGGGGTCCCGGCAGCCCGGTGGTGGCCGCCGCGTGGGTGTCGGGCTTTGGGCCCCCCGCACGCCGCCGTGTGAGGGATGCCGAACGTTCCGGGAGGAAGGAGGTGATCCTGGGCTGCGCGTGGGTTGGTGGCGACGAAAGTGACGCGTTCTGTTGTGTTCTGTGGAAGCTGTAATTAGATATAAAGAGATGGTAGTGGCAATAGAGCTGCTCGCGCTAAATTCTCGGCTCTTTCAGTGTGCAGCCACCACCGTTAGCTCTGCGTTTTCAGCAGTGATGAACAAGAGCTGTGTGCTGCCCTCGTTCATAAGCAGCTGCACAGCTGGAGGTGACCACTGCCCCTGTCACTGCTGCTGAAATGCACCACCCACCCCTCACTGTGCTCACATCCACTTTTTTTTCTCTCCACAAGCATTGATAAATGTCAACGGGTGCCATTTTCTCCATGCAGAGGAATTCAGTTCCACCCTTTGCTCCTTGCACTTCCATGTCAGACACATGGCGATAGCATATTGGTGGGAAGGTTCAGCCTCTGCTGCCATCCCACCCACATCCCCTTCTGATACAGTGGGCCAATACAATAAAATAGAAGGCATTACTTTCGGAACAGCCCTCATAAACTATGTAATACTGTTAATGTCTACAAGCGATAAAACTGATTTTAATCCAGTTGCGTTGGATTTGTGGGATGGGCAGAGCCCACACATCATCACTCTGTGGGCTGTGGGTCCCTTCTGGCACATGTCTGCCGACAGAGTCAGAATGGTTGGGTTGGAAGAGTCCTTACAGATCACAGCATGGTTGGGTTGGAAGGGTCCTTACAGGTCAGAGAACCATAGAATGGTTGGGTTGGAAAGGTCCTCATAGATCACAGCACGGTCAGGTTGGAAGAGTCCTTATAGATGGCAACATGTTTGGGTTAGAAGGGTCCTTATAGATGACAGAACCACAGAATGGTTGGATTGGAAGAATCCTTACAGCCCACCCACCCTGTGCTGTGGGCTGGCTGACCCACACCATGCCCAGAGCCTCACCCATGGCTGTGGGCACCTCCAGGGACGGGACATAAAGAAGCGGCTGTGTGCTCAACGTGTCCCCTCTGCTCCCCAGGCGGCAGCTCGGTGTGACCCGCTGTGCCCACCGCAGGATGCTGAGCTGCGTGGCGCCCTGGAGGTGCTGCGCTGCTATGGGCTGCACACTGCGGTGGAGGAGTGGTTCCTGGAGGTGCTGCAGACCGACCTGCAGGCCCACATCGCTCCCGAGTTCTGGAACTGCATCGGCCAATACGAGAACACGGCGGAGGAGCAGCAGTGCTCCGCGCTCCTCCTGGATGCATTTTGTCTTCTCAAGTGCCGCCTTGAGCCCTACCTGAGCAGCATGGAGCTCCTGGAGGGCTGGACCAAGGCGGGCCTGCTCCTGGGGACGGGCGCTCAGACGCTGCGGGAGAAGGTGTACACCATGTTCAAAGCCATCCTTTTCTTCTCCACCACCAAGCCCTTCCAGGAGATGATCCAGCAGTTCTACAGCCGCACCTTCCGGATATACATGAGGCAGTGGAAGAAGGGAGAAGAAGGAATGAACGAATGTGAGAGCAGCATGAGTGAGGCTGAGCAGGAGAGCGACACGGAGGAGAGCGGAGGAGGGAGCGCTGCGTGCGCGGGCTGTGGCAGCAGGAGGGAGCAGTGCTGGTGTCCCACGGCCATGGAGCGGTTCCGGCAGCTCAATGACATTCTGTATGTATGGCACAGGGCTGCCCCACAAGCAGGAGGTCCTGTGAGGGCAGCAGCCCTGGGTTTATTCATGGCTGAGAAATGGAGGAGCTGTGCGTGATGTTTATACCCTGGGTAGGGGTCCTGGTTTGGGATCTTCTCACGTGGGTTCTGCAGCTGCTTGCTGGCTGCTGACTGAACTGGAGTGGTCCTTCGGGGAGAAGTGCCTCTCGCTGGGGATGGGAATATCTTCCAAAGGCCTTCCAAGGTCCCAAAGAAACAAACTCCTGTAGAAAATGTTTCTGAATAAGATGGGATTGCAGTAATGTCTTATATTATAGAAGGGGACAGACTTTAGCAGGTTTTGTTATGATAGCACAAGGGGAAATGGTTTCCGGCTACAAGAGGGGAGATTTGGACTGGATATAAGGGAGAAGTTGTTTGCAGTAAGGGCAGTGAGGCACTGCACAGGTTGCACAGAGAGCTGGTGGTGCCCCATCCCTGCAGACAGCCAAGGTCAGGCTGTTGGGGCTCTGAGCACTGCTGGAGCTGTGGGTGTCCCTGAGCACTGCAGGGAGTGGGACCTGATGGCCTTTAACAGTTCTGTGATTCTACAATCCTAAGACAGTGTTTCTGAAAAAGATCTGATAGCATTCATGTGACGTATTGTGTGAGTAGTGCATCACTGCCAGCCATCAGAGTGCTTAAATTAAGAGCTATGCCTGCACCTGTGCACCACGTGGCAGCAGGTGCTCTCTGTTAGTTCGGTTTTCTCTGTATGCTTTTGCTTCTACTCATTCACTCTGGTCTCTGTGTCCGCAGCCGCCGGCTGAATTTGCTGGAGAGAGTGAGTGCTGATGCTGTGACCACCATCCTGCACAGGATGATCAAGGAGAGGATGGAGCGGCGATGCCGGGGTGAATATGAGCACTCCTTCCTGAACGAGTTCCAGGAGGTAAGGAAGGCCCTGGCTTTGGAGGTGTGGAGCTGCTCCTGTTCCTGCTCCTGTTCCCAACTCCTCCTCAATTCCCCAGTCCTGGGCTGTGACTTCCACCACCCCTGGCAGAAGAGGAGTGGTTAAAACTTGGCATTTTAGATTTGTGCTGGAGGAGAGGGTCTGCTCTGCCCTACACACAGCAGGTCGTTACGTTTCACCTGGCAATGGCCCTATTGGCCCCATCTGCATCCAGGCCTGGGGCCTCCAGCACAAGAAGGGCATGGAGCTCTTGCAACATATCCACAGAAGGGCCACTGAGATGATCAGAGGGCTGGAGCTCCTCTCCTATGAGGAAAGGTTGAGGGAACTGGGCTTGTTGAGCTTGGAGAAGAGGAGGCTGCAGGGAGACCTCATGGTGGCCTTCCAGTGCTTGAAGGGAGCGTATGAACAGGAGGGGGAACGGCTGTTTGTGAGGGTGGATGGTGATGGGACAAGGGGAATGGTTTTAAAGTGAGACAGGGGAGGTTGAG